CATGGCAAAATCGAATCTTATGCTGATCAGTTACAGTTGGAATGACAAACATAATACACCCTCCAAAATTTTGTTGCAAATTTAAAAGCCTTTGACTCTATAAGACTCCAGTACAGAGTTGTATTTTTCTAATTTCTTTGAAATTGAGGAACCTTTCTTATTGTCCCATGAGTGCAACTATGTATATGGAGGGTATACAAAAAATACCTAATGGGGTCTGAGGTGTTAAAACCGAAAGTTAAATATACCCCATCTTGCAATGGTAAAGGAATAAACGTAGATGTATCAACGTTTGGGAACATTGATATGTCAAAAGCTTTATATTTTTTTGTCAAAAATAAGTACATTTTTGTTTATACGTTTTCTTATGCGACGCCAATCGGAAGTTGTTCTTCAACATTTTTTTACGAATTTGAAGCATTTTTCATTCAAAATTGGTTTGACAGTTCATTGTCTCTGAAGCTGTGCCGATGCGACTACCTGTATTCTTCTACCATGCCATCTTGCATTGGAGATTTTCAGTTAACAGCAAATGAACGGTGTAAGACCGGTAAACGAACTGAAGGAACCATTGTGAACCATAGAAACTAGTTGAACAACGAAAGAGCTGGATATAGTTCCGATAGTTCATTACATGGACAATAGTTCATTTGAACTAGCTAGTTTTAGAACGACACTACTCTATTAGGCCTGTGGAAGATTTCAGACATAATTCCAAATAAATATCCATTTGTTTTGCTGCTAGAATTCATTGCGACGATTCATAAAAGTGAGTATGCAGTTTGGTAGTGTGTGGGTGCAATAGAGTTGGCACAATTTTCATTTCGGAAACAATGTGTGTGTATGTTTGGAGTTTAGAAATTCTCGCCGTGTCCATGCCCAAATTTTTGACTTCCCATAAATTAAATGAATGTTGTATTTCCTTTCCTGACCAATTCAGCATCAGCAACAATACGGAGCCATACGACCTTTACAAGTTGTGCTTCGTGCCAGATTTTGAAACGTGCCTAGGCCATTTGAAAAACATGTAACATTCATGGGAGAATCAATGTATTTGTTTGTGTGAAGGATCGCAAACAGATTAAATTTCCGAACTCTGTACTAAATATTAATTTATTAATTCAGCCAGACCATAGACATGGACTCTCTTCGTGCTTACCCAGGAAATCTGTACAAAATGCGACGTTATGTGTAATATGTGTCCAGTCACAAATTCCAGTGGAATTTTTCTATTTCTCTCCCGGTGTTTTGAAGTTTTTTTTTTTTTTCTTTATGGCTATTGGAATCGATTTAAAGTTCATCGCATACCTTATTTTGTGTAGGGTGCTGGTGAACGCATAGCTTAACAAATATTGCAAAGTTATTCGCACATATTTCTTGATTAACATTTTTAGATCCTTTCAGGGACAACATCGCTACACGTGAGCAATATCGCAGCGCTTTGAGAGTAGCAGTAAACATGATGGCAGATAAAAGTAAAACTCGTATGAATCTGGCTGCTATCAAGAAGGTCGATCCTTATGCAAAGGACATTGTAGACACGTCTTCTCACGTGGCATTTTATATATTCGACTCAGAGCAGAATGAATGGGAGAAAACAGACGTCGAAGGAGCGTTCTTCATATATAGCCGCAATGCGCAACCGTTTCACAGTATTTTCATTAATAACCGCTTAAATACAACATCGTTTGTGGAACCCATAACACCGCACCTAGAGCTGCAGGCACAGGCTCCTTTCCTGCTATATCGCAACGAAAGATCCCGTATCCGAGGCTTCTGGTTTTATAACAGCTTAGAATGCGATCGCATAAGCAAATTGGTTACTGACCTGGTACACACAGTGGCCAACACAACTGAGAACGGCGCCATTGTTAATGATTCAAAGCCAAACCATAGTAACAACAACAATGTAAACATATTTAAGATGTTGTCGAATGCAAATTCCACATTGGCTAGATTTGACAAATGAACGGATAACCATTGTAACACATGAGTTTTTGACACCAAACATTCAATGGCTGCCAGTTTTCTCCAGTGCAGCTATAGAAACATTTATACATCGTATACCAAATTTATCGAATCGATTTCTATACTTAAATGATGATATCTTCCTGGGCTCTCATCTATATCCGGAAGATCTCTACACCGATTCGGAAGGGACGCGCATATTCCAAGCATGGCTTGTCCCAGAGTGTTCTCAAAACTGTCCGTGGACGTATATTGGAGATAAGACATGTGACCAAAACTGTAACATTTCGGAATGCCAATATGATGGAGGTGATTGTACCGATGGTGATGATTATGTGCAACGCAGAGGCTTACTGCATACCATCGAACGTAGAGGAAAAAAATCTGAAGGCACAATCCTGTTCAGAAATGTCAGGACAACAACTAAAAATATTGGAATAAAACGTTTTTGGGATATCCTGCATAGCTATAATTTAACACGAAAGCTTGACATGAAAACACTTGTCGATAATTACAACAAGCGGCTCCACAACCAGCAATCAAAGAACGTACCACTTATACCGAAATTTGCTAACAATGTGAGATCCTTGCAAAAAACAAGTGAACACTTTTCCCAATCTCTAATATATACAAACATGCTTCTAAATCGCCGATATGGGTTTAAGGCCCGTCACGTAATCAGTCACGTCGGTTTCCTACTGGAGAAGACAATCATAGAAGCAATGCAAAAAAAGTTTTCCCAAGAAATATTAACAACAGCAACCCATAGATTTCGCGCTCCTAATGACCTTCAATTTGCTTTTCTGTATTACTCATTCCTAATGGAAGAAACCTACAATGAAACCATAGACAATATATTCGATGAGTTCGACACAGATCATTCGCTTACATGGTCCGATAGAGAAATAAGAACGTTTTTGTCAAAAATCTTCCCGTTGCCTTTAGATTGGTCCGCAGTTCGTTTTTTTGAAGGTGTAATTCAAAACTGTAGTCAATCTCCCGAATATAAATACGAAGACTTTGCCCACAAGCGACATACTACTGTTTTATACGAACGATACGAAGATTCTCATTTGGTAAGATGGCTAGGAATGCAAAATTAGGTTAACAACTTTTCACTCATACTAATTCCCTCTTAGCCTACCGTGTCCAAGGTCTTAGTTAAGCAATGTTTACCGTTGGTTGAAGCGTTACAACTAAATTTTGGTACGAGGCCCAAGTATAAGTATAAAGTGAACTCAAAGCGAAATACGTTTAATAATTTTATGATGCTCTCATCGAACGTAACGGAGGTTGTCGATGCTTTAGATGGAATTAGAAGGAATCCAAGGTACACGTTTGTTCGAGCTACTTATTACTGTATGATTGGAAGGGTATAGAACTCAAAGATACCATTTTTCTGTGTTGTATTTTGCAGGAAGTTTAATTGCATCAACGATAACCTAGATCCAAAGTACGAAGAAGAAAATGAATTGATTCGCCATCTGCTGGAGGATTTCTATTTATCCCTATTTCCTCATAGAAGTCAGTTCGAGTTGGACCATCAATATCGCAATAGATTTACAAATTGGAGAGATTATGTAAAATGGCGTTGGCAAAAACAAATATTCTATATAATGATATATGGGTTATGCCTTGTGGTAATCGTTTACATCGGCCAATCAATCTGGAGACAAAAAACCAAATCCTATTTATAACGTTCCTATTGGACTTTATAAAATAATATGTTTTAATTGAACTCTTATGAAATCTTCAAACTTAATAAACAAATTGATAATTTGCTATCTAACTCATTAGCCATCGTTTTCATACATAATGAGAAGCTAAATTCTTGCATATCGAACATATCGAGAGAATTTGGTTCCGGGTTATTTCAAAGCTGTTTCGATACCACAACTTTAATATGATGTGGCATATTCTTCGAAAAGAAAGTTCCTCCCAAATTGAAATAAAAGATTTCAGTATCGACTTTAAAAACAACTTCTAATATATTCGACTTTTCGAAATAGTTTTGTATTAGTGTAAATGGACCTTAACATATAACTAATTGGAGCCGAACCTTCCAGGAACTTTTTGTGAGTGTAAGATTTCAAAAAGAATCGCACCACCGGTACCGATTGTTGAGGCTTACGTCAAATCTTGAAAGAAAATGTAAGCTTTCGTAATGTCGTTCTGCCACAGGATGTAACCCCAATATAAACTCTAAATACCGAATTTTAGACTATTACATTAAAAAGTGTGGCTAAAATCAATATACCAAATATAGGTATACTATACAAACACGTTGACCGATACAGCCTATCTTAGCACTTGATCGGACTGCAGAAAAAATTCCACGCTATCTATGTGCCTATGTGTAAATTGAGTTTCTATCACATGACGTTGAACTCTAGCGTGATTACAACAGATGGAAGGACGGACATGGCAAAATCGAATCTTATGCTGATCAGTTACAGTTGGAATGACAAACATAATACACCCTCCAAAATTTTGTTGCAAATTTAAAAGCCTTTGACTCTATAAGACTCCAGTACAGAGTTGTATTTTTCTAATTTCTTTGAAATTGAGGAACCTTTCTTATTGTCCCATGAGTGCAACTATGTATATGGAGGGTATACAAAAAATACCTAATGGGGTCTGAGGTGTTAAAACCGAAAGTTAAATATACCCCATCTTGCAATGGTAAAGGAATAAACGTAGATGTATCAACGTTTGGGAACATTGATATGTCAAAAGCTTTATATTTTTTTGTCAAAAATAAGTACATTTTTGTTTATACGTTTTCTTATGCGACGCCAATCGGAAGTTGTTCTTCAACATTTTTTTACGAATTTGAAGCATTTTTCATTCAAAATTGGTTTGACAGTTCATTGTCTCTGAAGCTGTGCCGATGCGACTACCTGTATTCTTCTACCATGCCATCTTGCATTGGAGATTTTCAGTTAACAGCAAATGAACGGTGTAAGACCGGTAAACGAACTGAAGGAACCATTGTGAACCATAGAAACTAGTTGAACAACGAAAGAGCTGGATATAGTTCCGATAGTTCATTACATGGACAATAGTTCATTTGAACTAGCTAGTTTTAGAACGACACTACTCTATTAGGCCTGTGGAAGATTTCAGACATAATTCCAAATAAATATCCATTTGTTTTGCTGCTAGAATTCATTGCGACGATTCATAAAAGTGAGTATGCAGTTTGGTAGTGTGTGGGTGCAATAGAGTTGGCACAATTTTCATTTCGGAAACAATGTGTGTGTATGTTTGGAGTTTAGAAATTCTCGCCGTGTCCATGCCCAAATTTTTGACTTCCCATAAATTAAATGAATGTTGTATTTCCTTTCCTGACCAATTCAGCATCAGCAACAATACGGAGCCATACGACCTTTACAAGTTGTGCTTCGTGCCAGATTTTGAAACGTGCCTAGGCCATTTGAAAAACATGTAACATTCATGGGAGAATCAATGTATTTGTTTGTGTGAAGGATCGCAAACAGATTAAATTTCCGAACTCTGTACTAAATATTAATTTATTAATTCAGCCAGACCATAGACATGGACTCTCTTCGTGCTTACCCAGGAAATCTGTACAAAATGCGACGTTATGTGTAATATGTGTCCAGTCACAAATTCCAGTGGAATTTTTCTATTTCTCTCCCGGTGTTTTGAAGTTTTTTTTTTTTCTTTATGGCTATTGGAATCGATTTAAAGTTCATCGCATACCTTATTTTGTGTAGGGTGCTGGTGAACGCATAGCTTAACAAATATTGCAAAGTTATTCGCACATATTTCTTGATTAACATTTTTAGATCCTTTCAGGGACAACATCGCTACACGTGAGCAATATCGCAGCGCTTTGAGAGTAGCAGTAAACATGATGGCAGATAAAAGTAAAACTCGTATGAATCTGGCTGCTATCAAGAAGGTCGATCCTTATGCAAAGGACATTGTAGACACGTCTTCTCACGTGGCATTTTATATATTCGACTCAGAGCAGAATGAATGGGAGAAAACAGACGTCGAAGGAGCGTTCTTCATATATAGCCGCAATGCGCAACCGTTTCACAGTATTTTCATTAATAACCGCTTAAATACAACATCGTTTGTGGAACCCATAACACCGCACCTAGAGCTGCAGGCACAGGCTCCTTTCCTGCTATATCGCAACGAAAGATCCCGTATCCGAGGCTTCTGGTTTTATAACAGCTTAGAATGCGATCGCATAAGCAAATTGGTTACTGACCTGGTACACACAGTGGCCAACACAACTGAGAACGGCGCCATTGTTAATGATTCAAAGCCAAACCATAGTAACAACAACAATGTAAACATATTTAAGATGTTGTCGAATGCACAACAGGAGTTCAATAATCAGAATCAAAAGCAACAAGCCCCACTCAAAGCTTCGGGTAATGTGTTGAAATTCTTTGAGGCCGCTAAGCCCACTTCTGATATTGCATACACGCCGAGAATTCTACCCAATACATTGTTGGTGGAGCAATTGGAAAAACAACAACGCGATATACAGCCAACACAACAACAGCAACCAATTTTTGATGATGCCAATGCCACAAAACGTCTATCGTGCTCTCTGTTGGAAAACTCAGTCAATTCCTTACATAACCAATCCATACCTCGGCCGGGTAGCACTTCGAAATTAGACAATACGGTCGGGTTAAATAGGGGACCTGATTGCGGTTTTACACAAGCTCTTACAGCGGCGACAACGTCTTCTACATCTAATATTGGTGAACAGATTTCGCTTAGCAAAATCTTTTCAAATTTGAATTTTCAAAAAAGTTTGTCGCAGGCATCAGAGGTAGCCAAACCGGCTCTCATGCCTCCAACAATGTTTGACAAACCATCGTCAACAACGTCTTCTCAAACCAATTTTGCGGAACACGAACACAAGGAGCCGCTCAACAAACATCAATTCATACAAGCTTTCAATTATCTGATACAAAACGACGATGAATTTGTGGATAAGTTACATGAAGCTTATCTAAAAACCTATCAATAAAAAGTTGATAAAAATATAGAAAATATGTGTTTATATATTTGTTTTTATAAAATAGTACTTGGCATTTTTACGACTAGTTTGACGTATTTTGTCTTATATCCATCGATTCACATAACATCATTTCTGTGGTTTTCAGGTGATGTCAATTCTAATTTATTGATGGTCGTACCTAGCAAATACACCCATTACCAAATAATGGGTTTCCTAATCAGGGAATGCCACACGAATTATGTACTTATTTTGGTCACTAAAATTAAGTCAATAAATAAATAGGAGGAAGCATTAGTTTTATTTTTAGAGCCTTAGGAAGATAAGTACCAAATGTGATAGACTTAAACGAGATATTAATGCTTATAAATTGAAATGTGAATCATGGTAATTATCTTTTAATGGTGTATTCTCCTTATGCGGTTGGCTTTTTCTATATATTTGAACCAAATCTATTAGAAATATCCCAAGAATGCACACATTAACATTATAACGTTATCTTCCATGGTTCTGATTGATGAAATACAATCACGCATTAAATTATAAAGCTGCACATTTTCAAATTTATCGTACACAAATTTGTCTCCTTTTTTACAAGGTCACGCATGAGGTGATGTCCTTCAAAACTACGAAGTTACTGATTAAAGTTCGTTTACGCATATTTGGCAAAACAAACACTACTGGAAGAAGTTTTCTTTTTAATTATTTATTGTTTGTAAATATTTTTGAAACTATATGTATATTTATGTATGTATAATATGTACATGGTGACCAGTATTTTTGAAATAAGATGTTTGGCCAATTTTAGAATAGAAAAAAAAAAATAAATGTGCTATACTGAATACAGCTGTAACTAAAGGGAAGACTAAATTACAGGATGATATTAATGTTAGGCGGTGATCAAATTATAATAAATTTAACAATCATTCTGTCGCTTTATGATGCGTCGAAGCTAAATAAGGTTTATGGAGAATGTGATTGAATCACTTGTTTTCGTTTTCTCGACTATTGGGGTTGTTGTTGTTATTTCGCCTCAGTAGGAGGCTTGCGTTTGGATCTAGCGAGTAAATATCTGGTTCGAAGACTGGGGGGCATTCCATATTGGGGTATTCGGTGGTGGGCACGTTGGGAGTTGTTTGTGAATTCTCATTTGTATTATATGTTTTTGTTGGGGGTGGTGGCGCAGTTGTGTCGGGTGCAGTTATAATATCATTATTAGCGATTGAAGTTATAATCGATTGCTTGCGGTTGGTGTTCTTTTTCGGAAACACAACTTGAGAAAAGATTTCTTGGTCGTATTCTCGACCAGAGTATGCACTGTTTCCACTTGAGTTTTGTTGTGGACTATTTGCATTGTTTTGATGACCGAAAAGAGCTCTATGGAAATGGGGTGAGTTGCAGTTCTTGTTGACCTTCTTACTTTCACTTTTACTGTTCGAGTTCGGTGTAGACGAAGAACTCGAAAAACTCAGCTTAGCAAATATTGGCATTGGGGCCGAATTCTTACGTTGCGCATCGTATTTACCCGCCTTTTCCTTCAGCTCGTTGTTGTATGTTTGACTTTTTTTAATACCAGTATTTCCATTTCCGCATGCCTCACTCGTCAAATTGCTTGACTTTTTGTTCAGCGGCAAGGTCATTGTTGTTCCTGCGCCGCTGCTGCAGGAACTATGTTTGCCGAATTGAAAGATTTTTTCACTGGAAGTCTTGAAGCTTTCCAGCTTTCCTTTTTTCTTAAAACTACCTAGTCTTCGTTCTCCGCCAGAGCCAAGATTAAAATCAGCTGATGAACAACTACTACTTGTAGAGTTCTTTTTGAGCTTGCTCGAAGACAATAGAAATGACTTGGATTTCATTGCAGATGTCCAATTGCTGTTACTGCATAATGAATCGTGAATATCCGAGTGATGCGGGGGTTGTCGGTTTGTTTGAAGATACTGTCGAGAAGTATTAGATGAGGCTCCTAATGGTTCGTCTCCTGATATAAGTTCATAGCCAAAGTCACGCAATTTGAGTCCTTCCTTTGTACGCGTAAGCTGAATATCCTCATCGTCTGGCTTGAAACTAATTTCATAATCGGGCGGTTTAGGAAGACTACGGCTTTGAGTTTTTGAGACCTTTACATCTTCACAATGATGGCTCCCACCGCTCTCATCATTTACCCCACTCGACTGGTTAGGTTGCTTCTGTGCAGTGCTGCGCTTGTGATCTTCCTTCTTTTCAACGCCTAGTAAAACTCGATTATTGTACATTTCTTGTGCCTCTTCTTCCTGCTTTTGTAGCATTAAATCCTTGAGAGTGACAAATCCCTGTATGTTGGTTGGAAGGGCATCCCAAGCATCGGCTGAATTAATTTTCGGCAAATTGTAATCCAACGTTCGCGAAGTTTGGAAGTCAAACTCAACTAAATTGGGATTTGAAGCGTGAATGAAATTGTAAGGTATTTTCTTAATGCTCTTGCTGGGGCTTATTACACCAGGGGGCTGCTGAGTAGTTTCCTCGTCATTTAATCTCGTTTGAGGAATATTGAAGTCAGTTGATTCTTCATTCTCGGTTATAGATGTTATATCTTTTTGGGCATATGGTACGGGCGCTGGCGATGAGGGAGGTTCTAATGTCGCCACTGTTGTATCCCATCCACCAGAACTTTTTCTCGAAAGTGAATTGGCTGGTTTCTCGTTTGGGGCAGTCACAGCTAAGTTATGATGTTGTTGAGTTGATTGCCGTTGCTGTGCCACTTGCTGGTGCTGTTGCGAGGTCTGGTGATGTTCATTCGACACATTAAATGGGTGTAGAGAAGAGTCATGATATCCCGGTGTATTGGCTCCGATCTGAATACCATAACTTCCCCCCGGCACTTTACGGTATGACCGAAATTGCTCTGTAGGCACAGGAATATCATTTGACATCTTTTTTTCATTTGTCGACGAACTTTTAAACTGCAAAGAGCCTTTTGTAAGTTTCCTTAAGGAACCCAGGTATCGATCACTCTTGGTTGATATTGGCGTCGTAGTTGGAGTTTTTGTTGACACCGAAGCCGAGGCCGAAGGCAAAGAGTCTCTATTTGCTTGCGGCGAAGGCGTGCAGAGATTTTTTATCACAACGGATTCGTTTTCTTCACTGGAACTATCATTTTCAGAAAACAAAGTACGTGCGTTAACTTCTGCTTCTGGTCCGTTTATCGTGTTGTTATTTTGGGCCAATGTAGATTGTCGTATAAATTCTACCCATTGATTTAGCGCGTCTTGGGACTCCGCTGCAAAATAAAAAGTCTTTGCAGAATGGTAGACTTTAAATGCAAATGGTTTCGAGTGGACCTCCTGAAAGAACGTATTGAAATTTAACGATTGTTCACAATTTTAAGTACACACTTAAAAGGACTACTCACCTTCGCCAATGACACTGTAAAACCGGGTAGAAAAATTACACAGTTAGCTTTCGATGCTTCCTTTGAACGGAATCCGTATAAGATTGTGTCCAACATTACGAAGTACAAGCGAGCCCAGAATGTAACACCTCGCTTGTCTTTTGTCCGTCGAAACAGATAGCCCTGAATATCGCCAGTACCTAAAATTTTGAGGTTAACATTTCGTCTCTTATTTATCAGACTGTGCTTCTTTTTCAGAGTCAATGTTCTGGCTTTCGTTGGAGTGTGGATTTCGCTTCCTTCTGTGGTAGAAACATCGGCCACAAGCGAAAGTGTACTATTATGCAGAGAACTAACGCCATCAAGACTTTGCTGGACAACATTTAAATTATTTGTGGGCTGTTTTGGCTGTGGCGATTCGTGAGGAATAGATTGTATTTTCTGAGGTATCGGAGACGAATTTATAGCTTGCATTAAGCCAGGAGGTTTCGGAGGAGGGATTGGAACTGAACGTGGATTCATTTCATGCTGCCTTTTAGGTCGTGGAGGCGGTACCGGCGGTGTTACTAAAATAAATTCCTTTCGTGGTTCAATTGCCGGCGGCGTGTCAGATTCCTCCCCCGAGTTGTCATACGCCGGGGTACTATGGCTTTTGTCAAGTCTACCACGTCTTACCACAACCGGTATATTTATAGTCTCAACCAAAGCGTTATTATTACACATTTTTTCTTTTCCATTGACTTCTACTGCCTCATCCGACTTTCCTTCAACAAAAGGCAACGGCTCTATGACGTCCTCTTCTTCATCCGCAAATGGGATTGGTTCAAATGTCTCCAATATAGTATTTTGAACATTGCATGTGTACTTCTCGTCGAGCGGGTAATCCTCCACTTTCATGGTCGCATCGAAGCGCACGACCTTGCATACACCAGGTTTAGATGAAAGAGACTTCTCACTGGATTGTTCTACAATTTGACGCAATTTCTTGTCGCTAAACTCTCCAACGTACTTGGAGTTCGGTCCTCCTCCTATTCCTATACAGGTCGTAGGTCTTGGATTTATTTCGAGACCAAATCCAAATGAAACAGATTTGTCTCTTAGGCTGGGTGATGATGGATCCACCCCTATACCAGACTTACTTTCGATCCAATGTGGCACAACACCTAAACTTTTATGTCTCAAAATCTCATCTCCGCAGATGGTGTTTCGTCTTTGCAGCATGGCCCGAGGCTTTGGATAATACAAACGACTTTCCTTCTCCAAAACTTTGGCGTCTGTTGGCGTAAGAATGTCACTACATATGGAGTCGGTATCAGCCTCATCGGTTTTTTCATTTTCGACGTTCAGCGTCAGTGCTGGCATTTTAAATGTATTTTCAGGGACTGCAAGGAATCCAGTGCGGGGACTCGGGACGTTTTCTCCCCAACGCGTCCCAATGTTGCGTTTCTTACTTGGAAGGCGGTACGGTTGCATATAAATTTGACCATATATTTTGGTATGCTTTGGCCGTTTTTTTAGAGTTAGTAATACATCTGGTAATGATTCTCTTAATTGCAAAAGAACTGTCTTATATTGCCATCCGACTACGGTCTGATAGTTTATCTGAACTATTTCGTCCCCGTCTTCTATTTTACCGGAATTGTGGGCTGGCGAGTTGTGTTTGATATCGGTCACCCGGTGAACTCCGTGGTAGCTGGTTTCAATATTAAAACCAAGTTCCGATTCTCTCTTCTTTAGAGTAACTAAATTAAGAGAAGCAGGTTGTAAGAGCATAGGATCAGTGATGTCCTGAATTATATAGTTAGCCAAACGCTCCAAAGTCTCCGCCGTCGTTCGAATTTGTTCTACCGGACGCTCCACAAATCGTTCCCTTTGTGCTATCGTTGCCATTTCCAATCCAAGCCTTAGCATTTTCCGACAAATTTCTGTAAATTGAAACTGTCCTTGGAAAGGGGATCTGTCAAGCCAACATATCAATGGCTTTATTGTGGCAATAGTTCGTGTTATATCGTTGAGAACCTGCGTCTCAATCATTGTCTCTCCTGTTTTCAGAGCTAATTGGCGGTGCAAGCATCTGGCAGCAGTCGCTACATGCAAAGCCATAAATTGTAGATTCTCCTTATCCAGGTTGAAGTGCTAACAAATAAAATGGGCAATATTAGTTTATATTCACTAGCCCCACCCTCTCTAAAACCACAACACTGATTTTCAACTTACAAAGTTCCTTAAATTTTCCACCGCTTCCAAGACAATTTCCTGATGACCGATGGAATGCATACCTAACTGTTCCAGCTCGTATGGTCTAATATTCAGTAACTGATGTCCACCTACTCCATTATTAATAAAGGAGTACACATAATTGTACATCGAGTCATCCAGACCTACAACAAACAAGAGTACCGCCACATAAAATGATTCGCACAACAAAACCACTAATTGTTCTCTGCAAACCTTTTATCCAGTCGGTCACTTGATCCGGAGACCATTCGGCAACATTGATATAAGCCATTTTTTGTGAATATTGTAATTATATAGTTATTTTAAAATATTCCATTTATGAAAAAATGGAATAAATATTGCCATTGTCTTAGTAAGTTAGTAAGTAATCAATTTATTGAGACTTGCATTTTTTCGATAACATATTGAAATGTACAGAGAATGGTTAATCTTATTTACAACTGTATTTGTCTTTTTCTAACAGAGGTATGCAACACTGCATGATTTAAAGCGTACTGAACAAAATCTGGTTGGCCGGGTTTAATGACCCATATCCCCGGATCCAGGAAAGGTAATAGCACATATTGTTGCTTTTTGGAAAGGTTAGAGTGTCAACTATAAAAAAATGAGGGGTTTTGTAAAAATTTGGCTCCAAAAATTTAGAGATAACTCTCGGGTAGTTTTCAATAACCCCTTAATGTGACCATATATTGGATAGGACTTTTAGTCAAATATCCTATCCCTTGAGTTAAATACCTACCTCTGGAAAAATTGAGAGTTTTTACTAAACTAGAGTTGTTTTCTTATCTGTGATACCATGACACACTTACAGAAGGTAGAACAAAGCTACTTCCTGAATACAATTTCTTTCATTTGGTGCCCTTAATCTGTCAAAAAATATACACAGTTTATATATGTGTGTGTATTGTTTTGTATAAAAAAGACAAAAAAATGATTTTTTTCAAATTCAACTGAAAAGAAATATTAATGGGCTACAAACTATTCGATATTAATGGGCTACAAACTGTACAATTTTGGGATAGAACAATATTGTCCTTCTATTGGACTCAATTTTGTGCAATAACTTCAACATTCGATATAAAGCTCTGCTAGAAACTGTATAGGCCGCGAGCAAGCCTTCTCTCTTTACAATGTATGTTCTTCATAATACGCTATAAAGCGTTCATGCCATGGCGCAATAACAAGGTGTTCTTGAAATTTTTAAAAGCAGTAATTTTACCGTCAAATTTCGGTAAAATTAACGAAATCTGTCGGACCGCCTACAGGGCACTTAAAGTGCGCCGTTCATGGTCAAAATCCATGGCATGCAATTATGTGGTGTTAGTGAAAATTCGTATGTATGGGTCAACCTACGACGCATGAAGCAAAATCAGAATTTTTTTATTTTTCTCGTGGTTATTAGAGTAAGTCAATATGAAGTATTGATGCCGAAATACGAAAAAATAATAAGAGACTCAATCAGGCTTAAGGCTTAAGAAGTTTGAAGTCATGGCTAGGCATATTTTGTAACATTTCATAAAGGGAGTACAGAGCCGCACTAAAATCCTGCCGTCGTTATCCATTATAACTTGACATTAATATGCCTAGCCTTGACTTCAAGTCTTTTATGTACTTGCACCCTTATTAATTCCTCGTAAGTGGAGCTATCCATTCTTAAAAAAAATTAAAATCGTTTGCCGATGACACTCTTAATTCGACTAATAAATTTTCAAGAATTCAATTATTTTGTACCACTCTTTAATCCAGATCCTTTATTTCTCTTAATATTTTCATTTTCTTTCTTTTTTAAGCATACGGTCATACAGCACGAAATGAAAAGAAAAAAAATGAATGCGTGAGCCGTGTGCGCTGAAGGCTTCATGCACTCGTACACGATTTTGATGTCATGCATTTTGACCGTCTATGGGGCACTTTACATACCGCGGGATACAATATGACAAATACAGTTCTAAATTAACTTAACCATTCTCTGTACATTTCACTATGTTATCGAAAATCTACTCTCTATGTTATCAAAAACAAAAAAAAAAAATAAGTCTCAATAAATTTATTACTTACTCACTTATTCATCAATTTGTTTTCTGGAATATCAATCAAAACTTATTTGTTCGTATGCCCATGCGAAATGCAAAGTGGTGAATCGTTCCGTGAAAACCTGAACAGAGCTCTCCAAGCTTTTGCATTGCACATTGAAAGAATAAGCCAGTCATCGACGTTGTTACTCAAGGACTTTTTTGAGAAAACCGACTCCATATTTACTCCCCTGCAAAGGACCCTTTTAAATGTTCTGCTAGTTTTGCTATTCTGCACCATAATAATAATAGGATATAGTTGGAAAATTTACGGGAAAGTAATTAACGAGAAATTTGTACGTCCAAGTAAGTCTGACGAAATCAATTAGCCAAGACGAAATGAGTCCCTTTCTCTCTCGTAATATGAGGGACTATTTCCATTCCATTTATTTATGTGTTGCAATGTAAAATCCATTTAGCGATCTGTATCTTAAAAACAAACTTAATTTGCTTTGCTTATCAATGGTAAATGGAGATACTCCATTTGTCAAGTGTAAAGTAGGCATGTTCGACATTTCCTGAATTCGCTGATTTTAACTTGAAATATACACGTATCCTTTCATATATAGGCACGCTCAAAGAAATAGAAGAACTGAAATTATCTGTGGATAAATTGAAGCTTCCTAAGGAACATTCACCAAGAATTTAAAAATGTCTAAGATCAAACAATTCTTCAAGAAAAAAAAGGATGAAGCAGCTTTCAAGTTCAAACTTGGCGGTGGTAGTTTGGGTCAAGGTCATTCCTTGAGTTCTTCAGAGCCAGCAACGTCGTCATCACAGGGAAGAAGACCTGACTACGAAGCGTATATACCACCAAAGAGGAAGGAACTAAGCAGTGAAGCCAAAGCTGCCGCAGAAGCCGCTCTGGCTCGTATCGAGAAAAAGGGTGACCGCAAAGCAATGAACACCTCACTGGCAGCGATAAAAGCAAGAGCAAGGCAAGAGCTTCAAGCAGAGGCTGCGGCGCTCAAGCAAGAAAATGAAAGCGCTAACATTGAAAAAACATCGACACCTACTGAGAATGTGGCTTCTGTATTTTATCGTTGTCCACTAGTTAGTGATGAAATACTACCAAAAAAGGAATGGAGGAACAAAATCAAAGAATTTTTGTACCAGCAACTCGAAACCAGTGGTGAGAAAGCCTTGACTTCTTGTTTAATAATTCAAAATTGTAACACTAAGGAGAAAGTAAGAAAAAATCCCAATGAACTTTACAATCAACTGCTAGTTATTGACAATGCATGTTACATTTTAGGCCGAGGAATGTGTCCAGACTTTATGTAAATATTTGGAGAACATTATCAATCATCCCAATGAGGAAAAATACTGTTCTATACGGATGTCTAACAGGTAATGTGAGGTGTATTGTTACAGTCTTTCCTGCTTACAGGTTTTGATTTTTTTAGGATATTCTCCGAGAAAGTTCGATATGTCGAAGGCGCTCTAGACTTTCTGAACGCTTGTGGCTTTCGGGAAATCTTACTAGACAATGAGTTATTTATGATATGGTCCAATGATAATATTGAACAAAACTACGACTTACCATCTTTGCTAGAAGCTCTCAAGAACGCTGAACAAATAAATCTTGAGCTGGATAGAAATATAAAAGTTTTATTACCTTCACAAGCAAAGAGCGTTATTCTGCCGGACGATTTCTATCGCATTTCGCCAGAAGAACTCAAACGGGAGCAACAACTGAGAACTGAAGCCATTGAAAACTCCCAAATACTAAAAACAAAAGCGATGCGTGAACGCGAGGAGCAGCGTACCATGCGAATGTACAGATATGCCCTTATAAGGGTCAAATTTCCTAATGGACTCTACATTCAAGTATGTAAGTTTTATATTTATTTGAAGACAGTGCTAAATGTATTCCTCTTTATACTTTCTATAAGGGAACATTCAATGTTTACGAGAAACTCAGCGATGTTTATGAATTTGTGCAGTCTTGCCTACAAAATGAATCCATGGATTTCAACCTAATGATGGCCAACGATGGTAAATTCTCTGAAAACGATATGGAGAAAACACTGTTTGATCTAAGGTATTTAAACATCAAAAAGAAACAAAGACGAAACAGACTAAAAATGTATTTTTGCTATTCACAGGCTAATACCGAACGTAGTTTTGCTATTTACAACAGCGGGAGAATGGGGTTCAGACTGTAATTTTGTAAAGGAGAATCTATTGTTGCTTGTACAAGATATGTAATACACTTTCAAATGTAATAATCGCAGTAAAACATTATATGAGCATATAGCAAGCTCTATCCATTTATCCATTGGAAGTTGTGTTTTGTGATATTTTCTATTTTGATAAGATTCTTTTGAAGAGGGGTTGACTTCATCATTAAACCAAAGCGGTGGATACGTGTTAAAAGATTCTAAACGCGTGGCTGAAGCACAGATCCTAGGGGAAGTATAGCAATTCTGTTGAGTCTTGTTTGGAACAGTATTTTTTCTTACATGCGGAGGTATCCTACTCCCATTAGCAAAATCCACTAATTCAGTTTCACAATAATTGGGACAACTGGTGTACTAGGTGTTATTAAAACTTAATAAATCTGTAAAAAATTGAACATAAATATTGAATTTTTTAATGAAAACTTTGTATTTGCCCTTGTTGAACCTTCAGTTCATAAAATTATAGAAAGAAATATTACATTTTAAAAATTACTTTTACATTGGATGCTTTAATATAATAAAGATGATGTTCTAAGCCAAGTCACTTATTATTTGCTCGACTTCTTCTTTTGTATGCATGCGGAACAGTTTCTCCGACGTCATGGTCATCACCTCAACATTGGTCGAATTTATTTTATCCTCCATTACCTGTTTCAAAGTGTTTAATGCTAAGACAATGGCATCATTTAAGCTCATTTCAGCGGTATAATTATCTTGTAAATTTTGCTGAGCACCCTCACTTCCGGAACCAATGGCTTTTGCACCATATCTAATGTATGTACCGGATGGATCCATGTGCCAAAGCTGTGGCTTTCCTTCTTCTATGCCCGCAAAAAGAATGGCCACACCAAATGGTCGACTCATAGCTGAACCGCCATCACCACTGTCACCAAACTGTATAGCCAGTGCCGATACAGCTTGAGCACAAGATTCAATAGACATGCGTTCATTATAAACAAACCAGTGATTTTGGCATTCGACTCGTGCCCTCTCTATTAATGTTCTGGCATCAGCCATTAATCCAGATGTGGCACAGCCAATGTGTTTGTCGACTTCAACAATCTTTTCCACTGTGCTTGGCACCATTAGTGAAGAAGTAATCCGTTTCTCAACAGCCAAAACGACCCCTAAAAAAATATCAAATATACTTATTATTCGGTACATAAAATAATTTACAAATAAATCCTACCTTCTGATGTACATATGCCAATGGCAGTAGATCCCAGCTTAATGGCTTCGATAGCATATTCCACTTGGAAAAGTCTTCCTTCTGGAGAAAACGTATTTACTCCGCGATCGTATTCAGAGCGTGTGAGAAACATCTTTAGAACCTTTAATAATCAAATAACTTGTACCCGACAAAATGAAATATTTACTTATATTCGTATTTATCTGATTTCTAATTGGCGGTATCAATCAAACTAATTTGGTTCCCAAAACAGTCTAGAGCCTAGTCTGAATGTGCAAAATGACAAAACACTTTTGCACAAAGATAACAAAGTCGAACAAACAATAACGCCGGCGACGATAGTACCGGTGCAATAACAAAAATTATCGATAATAAACGAATATACATGTTACACTGAATACAAGGTATGCCATAGCAATCATATGCTAGGAACATAATTGGAGCGAACGTCGAATTTCGCCCTACGCGGCGACAAAATGAGCCGCGAAAATTCGTCGTATGGAACACAATACCGACGAAATTATAAAACAGCTGACGAAGTTGTTTACTTTTTGCTCATTTGTTGACTACAATGAATTATACAAGAACACATAATTCTTTACGTTCTCTATTATAATTTCACTTATGTCCATCTTCTCTATTATAAATTCACTGATATCCATCTTCACTCAGGCGCAAGTACACAAATAAATAAACAAATTAATTATGTTTTTTTTTATACGAGTAACAGATAGTAGAGTGACCATAACAAATTTTAAAGTAAAAAGTAACTTTATTTACTAAAACACATACAATTCGTACAAGTATGGCCACCTTGTACTGTTTTGTTCGCCGGTCGCCGGCGTATGAAATAGAAATAAAGCTAATTGAGTTCGCGGCGACCGACGAAATTTTCGCCGGTGCCGTGATTGTGTGCACTTCCATATACACATATGTGTTTTATTTTTGACGACGAACATACGCCGCGAAAAAATTCGTCGTTCGTTCAATACGTTCAATACACATCTATGTTCTGTTCTACTAGCTTTGCAATTTTTTCGATATCATAAAGAGACAATGGGTTATAGCATGTTTCCATTGGAAACCGAACAACGTTGTTCGCTCTCAGAATTAAGTACACGAATTAACCCGTTCATACGGCACGATTCGTAATTCATAGTAAAATAATTCCTTTTTTCAAAAATTTTGTTTGTTGATTTTAATGGGAATTTATACGAAAATCCATGAAATTCTCACTAATATGAATAGAAGAAATTATTGTTTTCCTCCCAAAGATTTATTATATCATTAATTTTACAATTTTCATTCACGATTTCAACTTTTTGTGTAAATGTTGACATTTTGAACACATTTTTGTGTTTTTCCATTTTTAAATTCTGCTGGAGAGACACTTGTCAAACATTTTTTCTGCCGATAGAAACATTTTGAAAATGTTGCCTCTTTTGTTTGCGTTTTCTGTGGAAATTTTAACTCGTGGACAAAATGCGTACCTCGAATGAGAGAGAAAACAAAATTTACTTTCGTTTGAATGAACATACCCCATTCAACATTGTAGTTTTCATTCATAATTTTCAGTCTTCCCAAAAATTTTTAAAATTTCATCAAATTTTTCTATTTTTAATTTTTAAATGTCATAATTTATTTTTTCGATAAATACACCGCCTTTACACGGTGCAATTTTTAGCTGGCATTTTTATCAATTCTCTTTTAAAATTTCTGCGTAAATCTTCGCGCCTTTACACGGTGGCATTTTACGATAATAGTGCTTGGCATTTTTCTGACATTTTATTTTATTCAGTATTTCGTATAGAGCTAATTGTTTGTAACAGATATTTATAAAGAAGTGATTTAAAATTAAATCTGTGAATCTAAAGAAGAAATGATGGAAAAAGTTATTGAGGTGTTAAATATTGCATTATTAACTTTTATTTTAACTTTCTTTATTTACTTTTTAATACTTCCAATTAATTTTCATATAATTCAATCACTAAAAACATCACAATAAAAGAAACGCATCAAAAATTACAATAAAGAAGCGATATGAAATGTCAAAATCATTAAAAATTCGGAAGAAGCAAAAAGAGAAATGCAAAGAAAATGGCATGTAACCCTGTGCGGTGGCTCATCGTGCCATTTTTTCTTCTATCCTTGTCTCTCTACACCTTTTACCAACAAACAAAAATGGCATGGTTAAAAAATGTCACCGTGTAAAGGCAGTGATACTCTCATTTGTTAGGGATGGGACATATTTTTTCGTTGTTCTGAGAGTGATTTGATTTGAACAACGTACAAATATGAGTGTTCGCTCAGGAAATTTTGTGTGAAGAATTAGGTAGTTTTTTCATAGTTAAGGGTCAAACAACGAATAGAGAGCGAATCAAGTGCAGTGGAAACGCCACATTACGGTTGTAAAAACTTGTTCATTCTTGCTGTTCTGAAGCAGACCTTACATATTACGAAATGTCTTAAAATTGTTCTGAAAAAGCCCCCTGTTTAAATTTACAAAATTTTACTGAGCATTGCTTTTAAGTAAACTTTGACAACATACAGTAAATTCTCTGTTCCAGAACTGCAAAAATGTACAGAATATTACTACGATTACTGATTTCACCGACTCTCCTTTTCCAGAAACTGCAAGCATGGTATAATAAAGTAAAGGTAGGGCACTGAAACCAACCGAATTAATTTGTGCATGTGTGTTTTCTTTTCAGCCATATCATGGTAAAATTAAAGAGGTAGGTCATTTCAAATAAACATACCCATCACTTTTTTGTAATTTCAATGCATAGAAACCAAGTTCCCATTTAAGCTGCTATTAGGCGATAAGGGTTTTACGTATATAGCGTCAAGTTTTCGATATGTACAAGTTGCACAAATCGTGTGATACATGGATGGTATTTAAGTTGTGAAATACATATGTACTTTTTTGCATTTCAGCGAGCCCTACTTTCATCTGAAAAGATAATCTAATAAGTGTTTGTTGTTGTCTGAAAATATACAGAATTCAATTTCCGGTAAAAAGACCTATATTCAGTATTACAGGAAATAAAAAACATATACAAGTGTAAAATTACATACAAACAGAAATAAACATGAATAATAAAATTAACAGCATTTATATCATGGTAGAAGAATATAGGTAGATGCATCAACGCTTGGGAACATTGATATGTCAAAAATTTTGAAATGTTTTGTCACAAATAAGTAGATTTTTAAATGTTTTCTTATGCGATGCAAGTCGGAGGTTGTTATAATATGCATTTTTCAACAATTTTTACCAATAAATAATTTTTCATTCAACATTTTCAATTCCAAAATCCGTTTGACAGTTCATTGTCCCAGCAGCTGTGTCGATGCGACTACCTGTATTCTTCTACCATGATTTATATGAAACCCTCATCGTCTGATAGCAGCTTAAAAATATGACAAAACAACATATTGGCAACAAGCTAATGACCTGACGCCGCCGAAAGAATTTTTCCGCTTCGTTGTCTGCTCGTAAGCCACAGAGGTAGTCTGCGTTATGCATTACACTCATTCGTAAACAACAAAAACAGAGGTACTCGGGGATTTTGCTTTCTGCTAGGAACACAATTGGAGCGAACGACGAATTTTTTCGCGGCGTATGTTCGTCGTCAAAAATAAAAACCATATGTGTATATGGAAGTGCACACAATCACGGCGCCGGCGAAAATTTCGTCGGTCGCCGCGAACTCAATTAGCTTTATTTCTATTTCATACGCCGGCGAACGGCGACAAAACAGTACAAGGTGGCCATACTTGTACGAATTTTATGTGTTTTAGTAAATAAAGTTACTTTTTACTTAAAAATTTGTTATGGTCACTCTACTATCTGTTATTCGTATAAAAAAACATAAATAATTTGTTTATTTATTTGTGCACTTGCGCCTGAGTGAAGATGGATATCAGTGAATTTATAATAGAAAAGATGGACATAACTGAAATTATAAAGAATTATGAGTTCTTGTATAATTTTCATTGTAGTCAACAAATGAGCAAAAAGTAAACAACTTCATCAGCTGTTTTATAATTTCGTCGGTATTGTGTTCCATACGACGAATTTTCGCGGCTCATTTTGTCGCCGCGTAGGGCGAAATTCGTCGTTCGCTCCAATTGTGTTCCTAGCATTCCGTTTAGTTTTTATCCGGTATTTCTTCTTGACTTCATATTTGCTTTGTTGGGGACGTTTTTATTTTGGTTTCCGACATTTTTCTATATCATGGTGTTCTTGCAAATTTAAAGAGCCAGATGTAATGTCAAAATTTGTTTACACTTTGTAGGCTGTTTATTTTTGTTCTGTTAATGCATTTTGACATTACATTTAGTAGTCAGCTGGCTTGGCAAGGGGACCGTATAATTGGATTGTTTTCTACACATACATCCCTAACTCATTGCTCTCACTACCCATTTCGCAACGACCGAACGAACGGAATATACAAAAGAAAACAGAGAATCAATCGTGTAGCTTAATTTGTACTGTAATTTTAAAGAAATAAGCATCTACGGAAGAATCTCAAGATCGTCTTTTTGCAATATTTGAAGCAAACGTATGTGCTCGAATTCTGAAGACTGGGAAGACAAAAGAAGAATCATGATTGAAGAGCTAACCGAGGAGCTACACCAGCTTTTTCCATCTGACGAAAAGAAAATATCAACTTCACTGCTCACCATGTTGTATTCAACGGCCAAACTGAATCACGCGAAGCTATTGGTGTCCACAATGAATGAAATACGCAATGAGGAACTCCGAAGTTATCTGCTAAATTTGGTAAGGAAGTTGAATGAATGGACTGGCATGTTAATTATCGGGGGATGATTCAACACAAATATGACATCCAAATGAAAATTCCTGTATATGCCTTGCATACATGTTTGTAGGAATGTTCACTGACTGATGTAGGAACAAATATGTATGTGAGTGCGGCTGTTGTTCTTTTGCGTACTTTGTATCATTACAGTGAGAACATTTCTTTGTTTTTAACATCGTATCTATAGAGGAAAATATACAGTCTGTCAAATAAATTGTTCCGAAGTGCCAAAAGCCGCGGAATTGACAAGTTTGAATTAACAAGTTTTTTTGTCATCTTAATTTCCTTCCCAAGAAAAAATGTTTAATGCTTCGTCGTTGAAGTAATTTTCCTTTACACTTTTTCGACATCGGCTAAATAACACATCTGTTCTTCACAATGTCACTTTAAAGTAGGTGAAATTACATATAATGTACTTGTGTATTTCAGGCCCTTACCTCTTCAAAAATACTCACCTCTTCAATTATAAAATTCCAAATCCAACTTTCATATTCTTACAATTACAATGTGATAGGACAAACGGAAAGTTTTTCTAAATCCAATATCAATATCAGACAATATCAGGATGGTCTAGTCTGACGGAGGGTTAATGATAGGCAATCTGAAAGCGAATTATTTTGCTGAAAACCAAAATATATTAAAAAGTACTCGGTCGCATTGCTGAAGCAGCTGCTACAATACCACTATGAAGGCACTTCCAAATGCTTGCTGGGTATTTTGGGTATATGTGTACTACCTATGTGTGCGGTTGTATGTACACATAGGCATGTATGTGTGCCTTCGTAGCAGCACGATTAATAATGTGAATGAACAACTGCTGTAGCAATGAGCGATGTGCGTATGTTTGGCTATTTAGTACTGTGCCTCAGTTTTGTCAGGAACAGGACTAATATCCGCTCTCTACGTATATGAGAGAAACCTCACACAAAGAGTAAACATAAGTGTCGAATAGCAGCTGCTGCTTAGAGTACGAGCCTTAAGCCTCAGCGCATTTGATTATTCTCTTAACAATGATGACATGTGCCGTAAAGGCTCAACGGCAAATATATATGAAATGTGCGAGTCCTTTCATCCACCACAAAAGGGAGGAAGGTATTAGTTATATTGTATCCTTCGTTAACTTCGTACACAGTATTGCTCGGCTATTCATTGTCAAGATAAAATGTCCTTGTGAGTATAAATATCGAAGTACTTTCTTTGACTAAAATGTGTACACCTAGAAAACGAAAACAAACTTTTAATACTGCTTGGCCTGGTTCGAGTTTTTGGAAAACACCGAAAACCGTTGTCCTATCCCCATATTTGACCTATCCACCGGTAAGTGTAATGGTGTATTCTGAATGTCTTTAATTTGACATCAGTTAACAAATTTATTCGTATGCAGGGCTTAGTAAATTTTTGGATGTTAACAAATTTATAACGCAACTGTAAATAAATGCATGAATTAATATTAAATTAGCTGTACAATTGTTTACCGACTACTAGTTTTGTATGAATTGTAACGGAATTCTGTTTTGTAACTAAATTTTTGCAATTTAGAGAATTATAATTTTCAAAGTGGGTTTAAGGGCGCAGGTATATTAGAATATTGGATTTGAGAAATCGTGCTGCACGTCAAGAACCGTATAGTTCGAAATTAGAGGATTATCCGCACAATCCAGTCCTATTAAAAGATTTCAGTGTAAGAAAACAAACGACAAACATAGGTAACACAAAACTATAAGTATTGCATTCCATAGCAAGAACTGCGAAATAAATGTAAATGTCGGCTTGCAGACGACACGATAAAAAGCGTTTGATTCTTTCGTTTGCTTTACAACTTATTTAGTATAGTTTTTTCCTATACGTACCATGTAATTTCTACTACCGATGCAGAAATTTGTAATTCAGGATTTAACGTAAAAAGAGCACTTTTTGAATACATTATTATTGATATTGTTATTTAGAAATTCGATGAGATCGATGGCCAATCTATTACACCACTCACGATGGCGGCAACAGCTGGAAACGTCATGTATGTTAAAACTTTGCTCAGTCAATACAAAGTTGATCTGGAATGTGAATGCAATGTTATATTCGATGGGCTTGTGGTGTATGGAGCAACAGCTTTATGGGTTGCCGCTGGACTTGGTCACCTGCAGATTGTCAAGTTATTGGTGCGACATGGTGCCAATGTCAACCACAATACAAAAGCGCAATCGTCACCACTGAGAGGTAAGTATTTATTTTATTTCATTAAAAATTGCCAACAGTTGATGGGAGGCCGAAATTGGACATATACCAGCCGTTTAGAATTTTTTTATTAAAAATAATTCTAGAATCGTAGAAAGTGTTTTTGCACCTCATACAATCATTCTAAGTGTATAGTCTTATAGGCAGTAGCAGCGCCTGAGAATGTCATTAGGTTCGCAGACTAATTAGAAATGCATTTTTTCTTTTACAGCCGCATGTTATGCTGGGAGACTGGACATTGTTAAGTATTTAATTGAAAACGGCGCAGATGTTAACCTTGGAAACAAGTACAACAATACATGCATTATGATCGCTGCATATAAGGGGCATACACAAGTGGTAAGGGGACATTTGTAAAATTGTTGGGATGCTTGTTGTGGTTACAATTTAATTTTAGGTCGACACGCTTCTAAAAAATGGTGCTAATCCCAATGAACAAGCCCTATGTGGGGCGACAGCCCTGCACTACGCTGCAGAATGTGGACACGCTGAAGTTTGCCGTCTGCTACTCGATCACGGCGCACGCTTGCAGGAAAATGAACTGGGATTGAGTCCCGTATTAACTGCAGCGGAACGAACACAGGAAGAAGTCGTGAAATTGTTTGTGGATAGGCCCAGTCTAATGCGTAAAGAAGACATTATAACGGCTTTGGAACTAATGGGAGCTTCGTTTGCCAATGACAAGGATAACTACAACATCCAGAAAGCATACGAATATTTACATCAAGCGATGGAATTGCGATACTCTGATTCAAATAATGTTGTTCGAAAAAGTGTCATACCTCCAGTACCAGCCTATGATGATTGGCTGGAAACAGAAAATATTCCCGAGCTGCAGGCAATACGATTGAATCACCACTCAATACATATGGAATCTCTGACAATACGTGAACGCATCTTGGGTAGAAATAATCCCGATTTACCACAACCCATTGTGTATAGGGGTGCCGTGATGGCTGACCAAGGACGGTTCTCCCAGTGTCAAGTTCTATGGAACTACGCCATGGACTTGAGAATGATGAATAACATATCTGTAGATAGGGACTTGTTGCGTTTTGCACAGCTTTTCTCACAAATCTTGCGCATGGAAGATGTGAGACTGGACCTGGGGCAGGTTTTGTCGGTTCTAGTTAAATGTCAACAAGAAATCGAACGGAACAAGTACAGAATGTGCCACCCTGGGCCAAAGGATGTACCTCAAATGATACTGGTAAGTACTCTATGTCAAATCATTAATGGCAAGCAACGGAATATAACTCACACTATCCTATAGGATCAGAATGAACAGAACGTAGCAACCGCCCTTTATCTAATTAAAATTATAACCCGGCTATTAACCCAAAATGTAACCAACGATCAAAAAAATATACTCTACTGTACAATAAAAAAAATTATAAAATGTGATATAAGGCTAGCTGATGGTCAAACCCTTCTTCATATGGCTGTGAACGCCGTTACCCCTGTCGACGACTTTTATACCAATGATATTTGCAAGTACGTTGATACCAATTGTCTTTGTTACTATATAAGTGATGGCTAATTCTTATATTGATCCACTTCAGGTTTCCATGCTACAGGACTGCCCTTCTTTTAGTTCATGGTGGAGCCAATGTTCTAGCCGTAGATAATATGCGCAACACACCACTACACACATTGGCATCAAGCGTAAGTTTTCCCTCACAAATACATTTACATTTTACACGGTATCTTTAGTTTCCCAGGGACAATATCCAACTTATTGCACAGGCGGAAAAAATTGTTCAGCTTCTGGTGGATGCTGGTGCTCATTTAGATGCTGTGAATTCTCAGGGTTTGACTCCAGCCCAAGTTGGCAATATCGGTGAGCTTCCAAACAACATTAAAATGCAATTACTTTAAACTTATCCAGTCATGTTCTTTTGCAGGATCCTTGAACGCAATCATATTGAATCATGCCAATTCCTCTATATCGTTGAAGTGCATTGCATCACGCTGTGTAGCAGTTAACAGGCTCAAGTATCAGGGACTAGTTCCCACCATTTTGGAATCATTTATAGAAATGCACTGTACAGAAAAATATTTATAGTGAGGAGTACAAAATGTTCGCACACGACTGAGTTTATACATATTTTGTAAAATTTTCATAGCCGAATAAAACGATGTAGATTAAGAGCAACTTTATAGGTAGAATAAAATTGTGTAAAAATATATTTATTTAAAAATACAACGAATTATTTACACAAAAATTTTGGTTGTATGTGATATCTGTTATAATCGTTGATTCAGTATCTTTTGCTCTCTGTAGGGAAGACAGCGCCTCGATGGTAAATGTATTAACTAATTATCTTATAAATTTGGAGTTAGCTGATAATACAAGATATTGGATGATGGGTCACAAATAGCAAGAAACAGACTGGAATAAAAAATATGTTAGTGATTGTTATAAAACACTGAAATTGGGATTTACTTGTTCTGCTCTGAAATACATAGCTTATTCCGCAATTCCTCGATTCTTTTGAAGTTTACTTCCTCTGTATCAAGCAATGGCAGGAAGATCAACGATGCGTCGTTGAAAGTGAGGGCACGTAAAAAAACAATCTCTAGAGATTCTTCAAAACATTTTGCTACAGAATGATGACGTTTGTCTAAAAAGATGTAATTTTTGAAAAAAGTCAACATTGTTTTATGCGGATCAAGAAATATTAAGGAACTCTAATCGACAACCAAATGTTACATGCTAGGTGTGTCACAGTCACCAATCAATCCAACCAATTGGTTAGCACGTCGTCGTAACATAGGTATGCTAATATACCATGAACAAGTGAAGACAGAAGTTGAACATGTTTTATTTGTTTCTTGATTCTAATGAAGACAATTTGTTGTAGAAAATTGTATTTACATTTATTAAAGTTCTTAATAATATTTCTATCTGTTTTTATTGTTATGGCTATTATACATATAACGCGAAGATAATATGTCTTAAACCGGAATGAAATGCATCACCAATTATGCATGCCCTTCATTTTTAAAGTGGCGTAATATTTCTGATTTTTACTATTCTATTAGACCCTAAATTACATTCAATCAGAATACCAGTTTTCAACTGGATCAACTTTGAAAACTACAAATCCATCGAGCAAATTGGTCATGAATGTGGCATTCAGGTGTTGCCGTTGTTTGTATGAATGTAAATTGTTTGGTGGTGCAATTTCCAATTTATTTTGTCGGCCACATACACACACTTACCTAGTTCAAGATCTTGAAACACTCGTGCTGCGACAGAAGCATGGAGTCTTCTTTTACACCCAATTCTCAGAAATTCATTTATCTATCGGAAATCTAGTATTAAACAAAAATGTGGAACCACCTGTACGGACGGGCTTACCAAATTAATAAAATCCATATTCACATTATTTGGCAGGTTAATCCTATTGGAAAAACAATCATTTAATTGACAATTTGGGTTGGAAACTATCTGCATTCATTAACCTGTTTAATTTTAGGCCAGTTCCACTTTACATTGAAACCAAAGCGCGACGAAGGTAAGAATCATAGCGCAATAACAAGGTGTTCCTTCAATTTTAAAAATCAGATGATATCTCCAAATTTGTTTACACTTTGTTGGGATCTGTTTATTTTTTTTTGTTCTGAGGTTTCAATCACAATAATGCATTTTGACATTACATTCGGCCCATAGCATGGTAGAAGAATACAGGTAGTTGCGTCGACGTAGCTGTTGAGGCAATCACAATTTTGATAAAACATTTTTTAAATTTGTAAAAATTTTTGAGTAATGCATTTCATAACAACCTCCGAATGGTGTCGCATAAGAAAACTTAAAAATCCATTTATTAAAAACAAAGCATTTAAAAATTTTTGACACATCAATGTTGATACATCTACCCATGGTACAATGATATCAAGGTAGGGCAGAACTACCATATGATTTTAATTTTTTTTATTTTCTTGGCTTAATATGCCATCTTTATTTGTTTATGTATGTGTTTTCTTTTCAATAACAAAAAATTCGGGTGTTTTCAAAATGTTTATTTCAACGTATGTATCGACAAAATCTAGAGTTTTTGTAGCGAAATAATCCCTTATAGATATATAGTACATGATTTTGAAAAGAAGTGTTGACCTTTCATTCAATTATCGCGGTTTTCAATTATTTATTCAAAATAAATGCAACAAGTTGTTTGATTTTTTATTGTTTTGATACTAATTCTGACATTACAAGCCAAACAGGTAGACCTCTATACTTGCAGTTTTTTCAAAGCTGACCTACCTTCTCTTCTTTGTACCATGCATCTACCTGTATTCTTCTACCATGGCCCATGGCCTACATAAGTTCGGCCAGTAAGCATGGTAGAAGAATATAGGTAGACGCGTCGACACAGCTGCTGGGACAATGAACTGTCAAACCAATTTTGGAATTGAAAATGTTGAATGAAAAATTATTTAAATTTGAAAAAATTGATGAAAAACGCGAATTATAATAGCCTCCGAATGACGTAGTATAAGAAAACATATAAATTTATATTTGAAAAAACATTTAAATTTTTTGACATATCAATGCTCCCAAGCGTGGTCAACTTTGAAAAAATTGCAAGTATAGAGGTCTACCTGTTTGGCTTGTAATGTCAGAATTAATATCAAAACAATAAAAAAACAAATAACTTGTTGCATTTATTTTGAATAAATAATTGAAAAACGCGATAACTGAATGAAAGGTCAACACTTCTTTTCAAAATCATGTACTATATATATCTAAAGGATTATTTCGCTACAAAAACTCTAGATTTTGTCGATGCCTGCGTTGAAATAAACATTTTGAAAACACCGGAATTTGAATATTTTCTGAACAATTTTTTTGTTATTAAAAAGAAAACACATACATAAACAAATAAAGATGACATATTAAGCTAAGAAAATAAAAAAAATTAAAATCATATGGTGTCATAGCCCCACCTTGATATCATTGTACCATGGGTGACAGCATGTGCGACAAAGTAACAACAACCCCATATAAATTTGTTTTTGTTCATATTATACGTCCAAAAATAGGAGCATTCATTTAATCGATAATTTATGCAAGTTTTTACTGGAAGCTGTTCGTTAACCAAAAGTTCAGTAAGTAGAGCGACATTTTAACATTTGATTTACCCAGTAACATCAATAATCAGCCAAAACATTCATTCTTCGCACTATTTAACTCGCTTTAAAAATGAGGAAAAATATCAAAAAAAAAAAAAAAAAATAAATAAAAATAAAAACAACTTGTTGCATACAATTTTTAATTATTCTGACAGCAAGCTGGCATGTCCTCAGAGTTGTATTTATGTGGTTTTACGAAGTTGTTCTACCTCCTAATTGTACCATGGTTAAAACAAATTATTTTTTTTTGAGAAAAAGGCTATTTAACAAAAATGTATATCAAAGCATAAGTAAAGATGAAAAAAAAAAATAATTTAGGAGCGGATAATGAGCTATTTTGTTTATTTAGCTGTCAAAGCAGAACACTATTGCTTATGCCTATATCGATTGGGGGAATAATAGACATTCGTTCAGACGGTATCTTTGTGCTTGGGAAGGGTTTATATTTTTAATTTTTTTTTGTAATAAAATGAAAAAAAAAAAAAAAACAAAATTAAACTGCATCAAGAATTTTCCGCTGTTAAGATTTACACAAAAGCTGTTTTTGTGGATCAACAGTTACCTTACAAATGTGTCGCATTTTTATTCTCGAAATAATTTATTTTATTAAATAAGAAAACAAGAAGAAAGAACATTGTTTAAAGTTCATTCATTGTTTAAAATTTGAGACAATGTTGAGCAATTTGATTTTAATTCTATCTTGCTCGTCCTCTGAGTGCGTCGGCAAATACTCGTCTAGTACTCTTAAAAAATCGGCATTACGAGACACTGGTGGAGGACTTTGACTCTGTGCTGCCTGTTTTTTTTATCCAGTCAGACACAGAGTCACAAAGGTGATCAAACCTGTCTTCTTGTCTCTTTCTTTTATCGCAACGTTTTCCACTTGTGGTGTGGATTGCTCAAAAGGACGTGGCAGCTCGCTGTAAAAGAAATCTACATTTTCATTTGTTTCGTCTTCCCCCGACAACTGCGAACTTCCAGATATGTCGCCACTCTCGAACTGCGTACTTAAAAATGAATCCTCACTCGACCATTGCATATTTGAAGAAGTTCTGGGATATAAAATCGATTAGGAATCTCCAAAAAAATATATCACAGAGCTCTGTAATTACCTGCGAGGAGCGAAGTGTCGTTGCAAAAAAGACATCGCATCCATATACCGCCATCCACTACCTTTTTTTGCACCACTTCCCGACGGAAGCTTACTTCCGTTAACCTCCTTTGCATATCTGTCCCGAAGGGACCTTTAGCGACTTTGGCATTGTTCGACTGCAATATAATATAAAATACCTCCTGTCAATATCAACCTTAAATATACAATTTATGAAAATAACTCACCAGTCGCGTTTGTGGAAGCTGCCACAGCTCTCCAAGATTTTTCCTTAGCAATTTTGTTGCGATATAGCACTGTTTTTTTTTGTCAAAAAGACAAGAGTGAATCTGCACCGCTTCTGTTAATGAAAATTCCATTTCAAAAACCTAACATAAAATATTTAAAAATAACAGCTGATTCCTGTGCCGGACTTGCCGCATGTCAAAAGTTGAGAGTAGACCAACTTTAATCCGTTACGGCAACTTACACGTTGTGAATGTGACATTCTTCATTAAAATATAAGCAACCAAATCGGCTGTCAGTCTAATACGTTGCCGCAACGGACACAACGTATTCTATCTGACAGACCCTTAAATCGTATTTCTTCTTAGTAACTTCTTACTGAGTAAATGTTACTAGGAAAGTAAACGAACGCACCTAATGTAAACAAAGAACACATTAGGCATGTACGATAACTTTTCTAGTAAAAATTACTTGGTCAAGTTTATTGAGTGAATTTTTTCTCTCACGTCCAAAAATGGCCAAAAATTGTCGAACAAGACCTACATAAGAAGTCTACCACTATTGTGATTGAACTCCCTTTAAATGGATGGAGATGGGCTTACCGGCCGACCTTATGTGGCCTTATATGGTCATGTTATCGAACATCATTCAATGAACGGTCTCTTCCAGAACTGCAAAAATGTAAACGTTTTTACTACAATAACCGATTTTGCTTTATGATATCGAAACAAATTGCAAAAATAGTAGATTCATGCTGTGTCTGGAACAGAGCAGTTGGAATTATCCAACTGATGTTATTGGATAATTCGGAATAACATTTTCCGGTAAAAGTACTTTTACATACAAATCCCAACCCTAATTACGGATTCTTCACAATATCGAATTCCCAATTTAATTAGTTGCTTTTCATTGCAAATTACAAAAAAAAAAAAATATATATAAATAAAGAAATAAATAAATAAAATAAATAAATATATTCTCCCCAAACTTTTCTAGACAGTTTCCTTACTCGACAGTCCTCTCATTGGGATTAACTTCTTGTGGAATACCAATAAGAAACAATGGGAGATTAAATACTATTTAAAACATTCTTTATTACAAACTAAATTACAGACTTAATTTAGAAAGGTCTCGTTTATATAACATTAATGTGATTAAGGTATAAATAACAATTATATAAGTATATATAGTGTGGGTGGTATATGTGCTTGTTGTTTGCTTCGTTGGCATTCTTAATTCGAAGTCGAAACAAAAAGCCGACCAAGTGGCGGCTCTCTCTACGAATAGGAGACTCGTATTAGGCCGTGTCGGATCGTCTGAGTATCGCACTTGAAATGAACTACTGGAAGGAAGTTTATGAGGGTATTCAAAGGGATCGGGCAGGTGGGAAAAGTCTTGTAGGGGAATAAGAAGGTTTGTGACGTTTAAATAATATAGCTGTGATGTTTAGACCGTCTGATGTAATATGTGAGTAGTACTAGTTTCTAGGTAGATGACTTTAAATTCTTCTCAGAAAAGTCTCAGTGGAAGCTCCCTCTTTCTTTCTGTGAATTGCTTATTCACCCACTCCACATCGGGTTTAATGAAACGCACTGTCTGACCTTCGCCGCAGGCATTTTCAACACTGTAGATGCCCTTCAGTAGAACACCGGTACCGGTTCCGCAGGCCAAAGCGCTTCCGGAATCGAATTCACACGAGTCGAATGTAGTGGTGCTACAAACACTGCTGTTATCAGCGCCGCAATCGCTGCGAGCCACCGGTGTAGTAGTGGTTACGTGCATGATAGCACCCTCTTCGTGAACTGCAAAGGGGATGAGGTGTAAAAGTTGAGTTGTAAATCAAATCTAGCCGCCGGTTAGAGAATTATACTTACTGCTCAGTGCTTGCTTGCCCCAACCAGTGGTGACGCATGTCTCTGAGGGACTGGGGTCCTTGTCACTGATACAGATTGGCATAATGTGAGTTTTAAACTCGAGTCGTTTGGAGAGATGCAAAACAGCCATATTGTTTGAACCACTGCTAGGATCGTAATTGGGATGTACTGCGACGCTATCCACTCCAACCAGCTGGAACGGCAACGGCTCGTCAGTACTGCCCAGTTGCCATTCGCCGGCTTTGACACGCAGGTCCGACACAGAGACACTGAAATAAGACAAAAGTATTTAAGTTGGCCTTCTCAGTGAGCAGTGGTGCTTTGCACTTACCCTTGGACGCAGGAAGCTGTTGTTAGAATTACGCCGTCGCCGATAATTGCACCACCACAAAGCAATGACTTGGACGATTCCTTCAAGATCATGGCTTGCCATGGGATTTCAGCAAAGTCTGTATCAATATCTTTCACACCTTTGGGTTTTGTGTTCTGCAATCCGAAGATAAGATGTTTTATCCAAGGAGAAGGAACGAATACTAGTGAATACATACCTTGTTTCTTTGGGCACAAACACCACCCAAAATTATTGGCCAAGGATCAACGTAGTTAGGATCGCGGCAGCATTTACCGGGAGCACCGGTTGCTTCGATGATACAGTCCGTTAGGGGCACTCTAAACGGAGTAATTTCGACAGGCGTCTCGCTAATAACACCGATAGCACTGCAGAAGTTTTCCTCTGTGCACAGCAAAGCTGACGCACACTTCGATGGAGTGACGGGGAATGTGGAGACGGGGGACTGCTCGGCAGACACAATTTTTCCAGGTCTTCTGTTATTGTTCGAAGGGAATATCTGGGGCGACAACTGATCTTCGCCGCGCATAACTATGTTCTCTTGGTTCGATGACTCCTCCTTGTGGTCGACGATTCCTCCTTGCGGTCTACGTGTTGCAGGAACTGGTGCCTGAGGTCGCTGCTGTGACTGGCCTGCGTTATATTTGGATTCGGTGGGTTCACTTTGGCGAACGGGTCCGTTTGTAGGGTTGCGCGCTGTCACAGGTGGAAGATACATGTTGTTAACGGGAGTAGTAGTCCTGATAGGTTGAGGGGTTGGATAAACTAATGGCGTTGGAGGTGTTTTCAAAACATAGCCATCGTTTGTCAGCATGGTTGAGGGCACGCTACAGCAAAGTTTCGGCGCTAAACACTTTTTAGACTGCAAACGAGAAGAGCACAAAAAGGGTCTATTAGAATTTCGAAATCGAATCAATTCTCAAGACGTTCAGAGAGATACAATGTTTATTTATGCTTGTGATCGTGAAATCATATTGGAATTTCTCCAAAGTGGAGTTCGTGTCAGCACCTAGAAATCGGTGTCTTCGGGGTTTGGAGCAAAACACATTTTCATGTTTGTATCCCGCAACTGTCAGATTTGCTTGAATGTGTATTCCGGATTGTGTTAAATGGTCCTATGTTCACCTTTTTAACACAATTGCAAAATATTGTGCATTACACAGAACAAATATGCTGAGTTTGGTCTGATATTTGCGGTAAAGAATTCTTACTTATTGGCCTAGAAATCAAAAGGGCCTACCGGGAATCCTCGGATATCACCTATATCCCAAACAGGCAAATATAGCGCGTGAAACGCTTAAAAATGCCACCGAAGATATGTAACGATACATTTACGCAATTGTCTCCACAATTTTGTGTGTGAATTTCGATGTGGTGCACAGACTCGGCCTTGAGCTACCGCACAATGAGCCGAATATCTGCCTAAGCAAATGTATGAGAATATCAGCCAAATCGAAACGAATAATAGGCAATTTGGCAATACCAACCAAACGTAAGTGCCTCCATTGAAATCTATCTGCAGATGTGTGTTGGTATTAATGCCAGCAAGTACGTATGTATGCATGTACATATGCATGCATTATGTTGATGATTCTGTTGATTCCAATGCCATTACAATAAATATAAATCCGCAAAGGCACAGAATGCAATAGATGCGACCAAACCTCCGATTGGCAGAGTTGGCGATCTCAAGCTGATGATATTAGCTTGCATAAGTGACGAGAATCTTTTTTTGTCTTTTTTGGGCGGCATTAGCCGAAATCGGAACAGTTGTTTTGCCTACTCCATCACTCCGATCGGTAGAAGCCGTGTCAACAGAAACTATGTGCAATTAATCCGATTTATTCAATGCAAATATGTATGTTAAGCAGATGAAACTGTAAAAACACGCTTCCACATTCATCGTCGGACAGCGAGCTTATTTTCTTAAACTTCAACAGCTCAGCTAACTCTGTTTTTTTAAGAGATATAGAGGGCCTACAGCGGCATAACAGGCTAACTACGTGCCATCATCGATTTGTGATGGAAAACATACGCTTTTAATCATTTAGTATATAAAAGGCAGGACATGTCACTTTCCCAAGTTCGCTTTTCGGAATAAGTTTTAACGTTAGGAGCTTCAGTGTGTGAAACGTTCTGACCATTTGGTATTATTATTGGTATGTCCCAAGTAAGAGCGGCAGGGCAGCCAGGTTGAACGTCGAATTGCAAAATTATTTCAAACAGAGGCAGTATTTTGTAATTGTCGTGTTTTTCTGAGGCGGCATCTTAAATTTCGACTCGAAACGTTCTTTTTCTGCCGCATTTGTGCAACACTCAAGAAACGATGAAGAGGCAACGCTTGGCGTAGCTGTGGTGCAGCAATGCCAGTGAATTGTAATGCGCCACGGTTGATGTACTCATTCACCTGTTAGAGGAGCGATCTATTAATCAAATTGAAATACGAGAAGTCTCTGCAATTACACGGCATCCGAATACAGTGGTGTGTGGCTGTATTTGTGTATGTATGTGTGATACAATGTTCAGAGACACATTTATGTTTCATGTTGCTTCTATGCAACTACATCTGGATTGAAAGGGCTGGTAAATTCTTTCAAAGGGAGAAGAAGTTAGTCTGGTAGCTTCGCAAACTTTTCAAAGTTGTAGTCAGGGCTAGGTCACAAATCTTGCAATATACCACGGGGTTAAGGGGTCTATGGAAAGATACGACATACACTAAAAATGTAGCACATAGTTGACTGGAATCCTGGAGATTTTTAAATGGATTGTTCTTAGGAACTCTGAGAAACTAGGGTCGTTTCGAATACATATGTTTGGTACTAAACTTAAGCTAGCACTTTTATGGAAATTGTTTGTTCGAAGTTGTTCGTTTTGGGATCATCTTATTGAGATCAGTTGCAGATCAGTTTCATCTCTTACCTCCACATTTACTACAGCATTGGCAAGAATTTCTCCATTACGACAATCGCGGGGCGACACACATGCCATGTTGGAGGAACAGGTAGTGTAGGGAGTCTCTGTTGTGGTCACTGGCGGATTGTATGTACAGCAAACGTTTTCTTCGGGGGCACATTTCTAAAAAAAGAAAAAAAAAAACATAAAATGAAAAATTTGTATTGTTGACTTGAATGTACGCCATCTCTGGCTGGTCATAATCAATTGAATCCCTCTCCACTTTCTATTTGACGACTAACCAACATTCTGACTCCGGACGATTTAAATTTAATTTAATTTGGCGAAAAAGCACACACTCCCAACCCCCTAGTGTTACGACAACTTGAAATGACTTAAGGTGGAGTAATTTAGGGCGTGATAAAGTCCGGATGTAAAAGAGTTCGATGGTCAACAATCGAAGAAATTAATATACCCTTACGTATATATATATAACCATCTACATCTGACGTTGTTCCCCATGAGATCGGAGCCAATCACATTTGGACACCTTGACGAACTTACTATGAAACAGTATGAACGTTGAACATCGCAGCATTTTGGCAATTGAAACGTGATTAGCGGCCGTTAGTGCAACTCATAAATCATTCAGAACTGTAATAGGAACATTCGAATTTATCAAAACTGATACACGCCCAGACCCGCCCGTATGGAAGCCGAAACTCCAGCTACCATGTTTCATTGTTTGCCCGTGAGTGTTCCGATGGTCTTCTTGTTCGGACTGTTTAACAAATACCTGCAAGTTAATTAAAGACAGGTTAAAAAGGTTAACCAAAAGCCATACAAAAGAACCACGTCGTAAAAAACGATGCAACGTAGCTAATAAATGATCTGTCATTGGCGATTTGAGCGTTTAGATGTTAATTCTCGGGGACTGGTTATAACACGTTGCCACTTTGCATAGCGACTGCAGCAACAGCAGCAGCAGTAGCTGCGGCAACCGCTGCACAAAGCGCAAAAAACGATGGACAAATGCTGGCCCCAGACAATTCATTGCTGGCCGTCTGCATCCACACTTAGCATTTGGATTGACCTCTCGTTGTCGTACGACCAGACACAGCACCACCGCCTCCAGCGGTTGCATTGCGAAGTCGCCTTCTTTTTTCGGCAGTACAAGACCAATTTTCCTCCTCGATTTGGATCCATCGACGGAGGCTGGTCCGATTCATTGACCGCTGGCTATGGAGATTCTTAACAAATATGCAACACCCATGCGCAGTATTAGCGTCATTTGTCGATTCATTTGTTTGTTGTTTGTTGGTGTCGTCGTTGTTGCTGTCGTGTTCATCATTGGCAACCTACAACCATACCTGTCTATGAATGTATGACGGGGCTGCTGATGGCCGTACTCCAGTATCGACTATCAACAATTGGTAATGTTACATCTTTCTGTCAGAGTTGTTGAATGTTTGTGCCACGGGCAAGAGTGCTGGAGGTGAGGACAGCGTGTGCCTCACTCTGACAACGATAAATGTTCAACTGTCTTTAGCGCTGGCATATGTCAGTGTATCATTAAGCGAAACGCCACTTTTAGCTGAACAAATGACCATTTAATACAAAGAAGCCTAACCTCCGGACTCTGACATTCGGCGCAGTCGGCTAACAAATGGAGTCTACTGATTGCACTCGGCATTAAGACCATCAATCAAGCTGTGACCTAAGCCCCGTGAACTTTTATGGCGAATTGGCAATAGGAATGTCCCAATTCAGACAAGCGGTACGAATTAAATTAAAAATGTACGTTCCTCAACATAGGCACAGCAAATAGGCCAGTAACTACTGGAAACTAAGAATATGAATATGGAAAATGATGCATCTCACGGTGTAAGCATTAACATTTATACCAACATCTCAACTGAGAGTCCCTGAGATAATTTCTCTGTTGTCGATTCAAGGGCAGATGATCGATATTTTTCCAAAAATAACATTGAACTCGAATGCGAACGACATGTATGTGTGTGTGTGTGTAAGTATGGATGAACCCGGTATCATTGGCCTCTTGTAAAGTCATCGCTAATTTCGTCGCTGTCGGTTTAATGGGTGGTTTGATGCTAGACAAACGCTGTTTCCATTTGATCGTTTGCAACAATTTGGCTGTCATTGATTAATATGACACTTTATTTATTGACAGCTTGCTGTACAAATAACATACTTATTATGCACATGAACACATGTTTGTACATATTATGTACGTATTCCATCTGTCATCTTGTTGAATGTGTGACTGCATGTGGAGGATCGCTAAGCATCAACTACCTACCTCGAACTTCCATATTGAAGAGAAAATGTTTTTTTTTTTTTTGTTTAGCTAATGACAATCGCCAATGAAGAACGTCAAAGTGAATGACTAATTTTGCAGCATGACTTGCGAAAATGTAAATCTCAGCATGAAGCTACCATAATGAAAAACAAACCATGTGATTGTTTCTATAGCCAGAATTGCCATGCATATTACATTGACGTGGACCGAACATTACTAGTTGAGACCAACGTTAGGAAGGTAAATTTAATAAACCAGAAATCTGTACGAATAGGATCGCTTGACTCAATGGTTTGTAAAAGTTTGCACTGGAGTGTCTTTGTTTATCAAAAAAAAAAAAAAATAAATAAATAAATAAATAGTAAAGAGAGCGAACCGAGGGAGTTATTTTGAAGCGGAAATATGCTCAGTAAAAATGTTAGCTGTCTAATATTTACTTGTTTTGTACCCAAAACAGTTTTGATTGTTAAATCAACTAAGGTAATTTCAGGACTTTATTAAAACATAAATATGTAATTTAAATCAAACCGAAGAAATGTGTATTCATGGAGTGACATTTTTGTTTATTCATTCCAGCATCGCATTTCCCCTCAGTACTTTCTTACTGATTAATTGATGATTGTTAAATAAAAATAACTATAGTTCGATTCTCTAACTCATTTACCGAAAAATATGGGTAAAATTAAAACGTAAAGTTATGAACGAAAATTCGAACGAAAAAAATTAACAGCACTGTCGTTATTGGCTCGATATAGCGACTGCTTTATTTTTGTCGGTTACTCAAAAATGTCTTAGAGAATCGCACTTCAGACCATGGCTCAATAGGAAAGGTTACTCAACTTCAAGGAAATCCACAAAACATGAATGGAATATTGGTATTTCTCCACAAAGTTGAATCCAAGATCGTAGGACAAAGTTGTTTTATCCCGAAATAGTACATTTTGTTGCCCGTTAATGTGGGAAATATGTATTCTGTTGTCTCTAAATTTGAAAAAAAGTCATATTTTTCATTTTAAATTCAAAACAATACATGTACATAATGTCTATATGCTCTGACAGAATAGGGGCACCAAAAGAAAAAATATTTAGGCTAGCTTTGTTCTACCATCTGTAATTTTGCCCTGCTTCCGACCTAATTTGTGCAACTTGTGGTGAAATTTTGCGATAAGTTGATGAGAAGTTATCATTGGAAAATTTATCGTACAGGCCGAATTATAAGAAAAATCTAAAAATTTCAACCTGAATCGAAGCATTCCATTTCAGGCCGTTATCAATGGATATGCTATCATTAGACGTGAGAATATAGTCATCATTCCGACCAGAATATGTTAGAGCTTATCATTTAATCTGTACACACACATACATACATATTGTATACATATACGTGCGAAAGTGTAGACGTGTAATAAAAAGTAGACTTTCAGAACTGCTTTGTACCACATTACCGAGGTCCATCAAAAAATTATGCTAATCCAAAACCTTAATTCGCAGAAGTGTGTAGACATATTTTTGCGAAAGTGTGGACGTGTAATAAAAAGTAGATTTTCAGAACTGGTTTCTACCACGTTACCGAGTTCAATCAAAAAATCGAAAACCTTAGTTCTCAGAATTGTGTAGACATATATTTGCGAAAGTTTGGACGTGTAATAAAAAGTAGATTTTCACAACTGGTTTTTACCACGTTACCGAGGTCAATCAAAAATTATGCTAATCTAAAACCTTAATTCTCAGAAATGGCGGAACATTAGACTAGTAACTAAAAATAGAAAAAACCGCAGTCGCAACATTATTGAAGACTACCAATATGTTAATGTTGCTGATTTGTTGAGAGCTTCGGTATGCTAATGATGTGACTTAAAATATCAAATCAGATCAAATAAACAATGCGTTTTTATTACGGTTCGCTCGCTATTCGAATTGGACTTTTGGGAAATTGACACGTAGTCAATGTTCACATTAGCGGAGAACGATCTTTATCGGTATCTGTTGTGCTTCCCGGCGCGTTTCCACGCCGCTTCAACGCCGCCGTAAAACAAATTCATAATAACAATTGTAATCGGTGGGTGTTTCGTTGACGCCTCAGCTACTTGCCTCGCACAGAGACGCTTACCATTTTCATTCTATTTTGTAGTCTGTGTTGGTGTCGTTTCAATATCGTCATCGGCCATTGTGTGTAATTTGTTAATGGTTGTGAACATTTGGTGATAACCAACTTGCGATTTGCATTTTTTTTATCAACTTCAAATTCGAAGCCAATATTGCAATATTATTCTAGCATGGTTCTTCAGTATTTCTATTTCAGAAACTTACAGATTTCTCTGATTTGAAATGACACAGTTGCCCAAATTTATGATTAGCACACCATTAATTCCATACACGGGTATAAACTGTGTGTGTATGACAACACCAGGGGGAATATCTTCTGTTTTCTAATTTTCTGCGGGCAGTTTATGAATACATTGGGAAGAGTTTGAGGAAAAACTCTTATTTGGCTTTCCCTTTCTCTCTCGACATTCATAAACTAACCGTTATTTTCGATGGTTAATTCGATTATCAACATCGTCATCAATCATGTCGAATTCCCCAAATTATAATTAGTACTCATAGATTTTTTCCGAGTTTTTGTGTATGGATGGTATAGAGAATTTTACTCGATTCGATGTCTTTGTGTGTGTGTGTGCATTTATATATTTTTAATAAACCTATTGGGAAACACGGAAAACAGACTGATGGGAGCTTGCAAATTCACACATTATAATTTGGTCCCAACAGCAGTTTGGACATTACAAAAATTAGCACATTGTTGTGAATTTATTTTATACTTCAGTGCATTTCGAAACGAAAGGGGTTTCCAAAACAACGACAGCAACAACAACACCAAGCTATAATGAAACACATTAGAAATCATTTTTGAAACGAAGAATAGAAATCTGGTTGCCGGGCTTTTGGTGTTACCGTGAAATGACTGAAACCTCGTCAGAATTTCGTTCGTATTAATTATATAATGACGTACAATGAAGGAGAAATATGAAATACATACATACATACAGACAGACATATGCAGAATGTTGATGGAACTATAGCCCTGATAGATAATGTACTTTCTCCCACTAATAAATAATCCTTGTTCCTATAAAATCAACAATACTGGAATCTAAGTTGGAATCGTAGGTATGTAGGAAGTTATGGAATTACTTAACTAGTTAATAGCTTCAATCGGCGTATTACGTTGATCTAAAAATGTGCATCAGATGATTTCCAATAACAAATTCTGTGACCATATTCTGTCTACCAAGTTCGTGTTCTTTAAAGTACGAGTGTCATATAATGAATCCTGGAAATAAGTTTTGAACCTTGACCAGCCGTTGGACAAGGTCTTAATCGGCCTTCTATTTGTAGTGGCAATACCCACTTTTAATGGTGCAATATGGATTGTCCACTAGAGATTCGAAAAAATCAAAACTGAAAGATACGCGCGTGAATCGTGATTGGAGTAGTACAGCATTAGGGGCCGCCCTTCAAGTTCTTATGCAACACTCTGGGGGCCACTGCTGTGCGCAGCACCTGCAAAGGGTTAAATCATTGCGGTGTGCAGCACATTTCTTCACATTGGAATTTGCATAAAAAGCATATTGCATTGTTGTTTGTGCGAGGAGTTGAGTTGTTTTTCTGCTGTTGTTTTTGGTTGACTGCATCACAAACCTGTTTCGCAATTAAACATGAACTTGGGGCATTATCAAGAGAAGTGGATGAGTTGCATTTTTTACGTTCGACATACTTTTTCCCTTTTTCCAGACAAACATATGACCAACATGTTGCATCTTCGTCAATATGTGGCTGTGTATCCACACATACATATCAACACATGCTAAACCCACTGTCACTGCCGCACCGGCGAAGAGCATGCCGGCTGTGTGATGTTGCTTTCCTACCTCCACTCCATGAAAGTTACGAAATTTCAATTTGGGCAAAAGACGCTGGGGTCGCTGCTGTGATGTATGTGGCGACGAAGCAAAGAATGCAAATAAAACCGAAATGCTGTTAACGACGGGGCCGCAGGAAGGGCGATGATCGAAAATTAACGGTTTAATAAACTAAGACGGCTACCGGCTGTGACCGAGCGTAGTCCCATCGCCACCATCACAACCGAGTAGACGACGAAATTACAACAATTTCTATACACTCACACACACGCATGTGTACCTCCACAAGCTGGCTTATCTGCATAAAATTTATATAAACCGTCCAATTGATAAACGTTTATTCCAAAATAGCTTTTTGCTGTTTGTTGCTTGTTTTCGTTGTTTGTCTGTTTTTATTTTTGTTTTTTTTTTGTGTCAAAAAAGATATTTAGTGGGTAAAACCGAAATCAATTCTGATTATGTAATTGAAAGTCGCGCGTACACACACACACACACACACACACACAAACGCATATCTGCACTGGCCGTAGTGCCCTGGCGTAAGACAATCAGTTCGCACAGACTGTGGCAACACATTTATTATAAATTAATCATTGTTGCGTTTTAATTTAAAATAAAACAGCAACAACAACAATGTCAGCAACAATCAACGCAAGCACAACAGCAACAAAAATAAATAGTTACTTGAGACAAACCTGTTTACATGGAATTTCACCCGTTTCCTAATTACCTAAAGTTCAAATGGCGGGTGGGTGACGGTAGCACCGGCCTCCAGCTGAAGATGATTAACATCTTCTTATACGAAATACCTAATGTTCAAGCCCCCTGCCGGTCCAAATTCCCAAATTATAATAGCAATTGTGGTCTCAAGATATTTGTTTGAAACACATTCTATTCGACAACACAGCTTACTGTTAAAAATCTCCAATGTTCAGGCACACTAGACCATATCCTAATGCCTGTAAAGGCATCCAAATCCTCCCACTGAAGTCAATCAAGATCAGTAAAAATAAGATTGTATCTTCAGAATAATAATTATTGGGCAGTGCAGTTAAGAGTTTTCATAACCTAATCTAAATGAAATATTTTGAATGAGTGGTGTTCCGCTCATTTGGCTGTGAGCTCCAAATACAAATTTCAGCCGTTTCTGTTTTTTGAATTAATTGATTGTCTCTAGGTGGTAGTTGGTAAGTAATACATATCTATGACTGGTCCACGTCAAAAAATGACTTGGATGCTGTTTTGAAATCAGTACTGGTTGCAAAATGTATTTGAAAAACTCGACATTTGGCAGAGTGATTTATCGTTGGGAACTTATAGCGGAGGGTCTTTGCGTTAAATTTGAGGAAAACTCATTTGGAAAAAACCTCAGATAAAAATGTAATGCAAAATCATAGATATTTTCAATGTGATTTGGCTTTTCCTGCATCCGATACATGGCTATAAATTTTGAAGCATTTCGTTGCCCCGATATCCATTAGCCGATGGCCACTTCAGAGGCTCTATTGTCTGTCGAAAACTGTTTCCATACCTCACATTCTTGATTGGAATGTTTTCATTTACTCACCTGAACTTTCGGTAACTTCTCGGTAAAGTAGCCGTTCTTGCACTTGGCCTTTGGTACGCACTGTTGGCGCCCGGTACACTCCAGCAAGGTTGGCAAATATCCCTGGCCCACAAAGGGAGAGGCACGTTTGCTAAGCATAGATATAAAGGCAGCGGCGGGTGGGTTGGATCTGAAATCCGCATCCGGATGAGAAGCCAGACCATTTTTGTATTCGCCGTTGAGGAACATATTCGAACTGTACTGCGCACCGAGTGTCCCAGCGACGGCGTACAGGAGCGTGGCCACCAGGCCTAATGCCACCATCCGACAAAAACTTGACATGGTGTGTCAAATGAAACTCTTTTCCTCTGGTTTGTGCTAGTCTGCAATGGTAAGTTACAGTCAACCGAATTCACTAGAGCGTTGAACTGAAAACAAACGAAAACGAATCAAATTAGTAAAATTATCAACAGAATATCGGAGAATCGTTGCGATGGCGTCCGCCACCATCACAACGTATTGAACGAAAGAGGGCCTTGATCTGAAATATTACAAAGAATTCACAAGTCCTTATCTCTTTTTGTTTTGTGACGAAACATTTTTGGTCCTGCCAACATGCATACTACATTGCAACTATGAAATACCTCTCTCAAGCTCTCGATGTCGGCGGCGTTAAAATCCAGCCAGCAGTGTTTGAATGCAATCACAGGCTCCAAAACAAAAAAAATAAGCATCTTTGGCAAGAGCTATTTCGGAATAATCGATTCACCCATTTGAGCGTCGTTATTTATTGAGTGTTGCATGGCAATTAATAATCCAATCGACCCCTTGGATACAGGCTCCCCGTACCCTCGTCGCCGTATATGGCGTTGTACATTCATATATGTTCGAACATGTGTCACAGGTATGCTAGGTAGGTGGCAGATTCTCGTGCGTACCCCACCGTTGGAAGTTGTTAAGTTGTGTAAATTTCAATGTAGACAGACAGGTCGTTTGCTAGTCGCGTCGCATCACATCGCATCGCATTGCAACGCATGCGCTGTGCTCAGCACAGCAATTCACTTCCTTCTACGTTTTGACACGAGCATGCCCAGTATTGATGCATTAGTGCAAAAATCTACAGATTGTGTGTCGCAGCAATGCAAACAAACGCTCGCTCGACCGCCCGCCGTTGTGCCCAAATCGGATTCCGAGTCTGATTACCCCGGGTGTCTAGAAGTATCAGTTGCTTGCAGCACTTACATGACAGCGACTAATAAAGTTGCTCAACAAATTTGTCAAAGAATTCTAGCACCAGTGGTTGTTTCGTCTGTCGTCTGCTGGCTGTTGTCGTCTTGTCAGCCGACAGATCTCGCCATGCAAACCCCGTCCGACAGACGATAGAGTAAATATTTGCCACCATCGTAAAAGGCATGAAGCAATTTTACACGATATTCCACTGTTGATCATCGTAGCGTAATCGGAGAATCTAAACATCTCCCGAATCACAGCCTCTGCTAAGATTATGTTATGCTGGCCGGTTGGCTGACTAGTTGACTTCTGCTTCGGACGTGTTGACTGCTCAAAATCGCACATGCAGATTGATAATTGACAAAAAAAGCAAAACAGAATTTCCATTTAGATGCACTCAACACATCCGAATATGCGTGTGTGTGTGTGTGAATGTTCGTATGTATCGTACACATGTTCCAAAATCACATTACGTAAAAGATCAAACAGAATTAGTTGGCGGAATTCGCTAACGACCGACCACAAAACTGTGATAATTGTGGTGATGGGGCGTTGAAGTCGTCTCTGTTACTGCTCCGGTGGGCAGAGTCACGGCAGTGTCAGTGCTGTTGCCCAAGCAGCGTGTTTGGTGTTCAACTCTGCCATGCCACGATGCAACGCGGAGTCAAGTTGTTGTGATAAAGCCGATAATGTCATAATTATTGCAAGGTGACAATGTAATATTCAAACTATGACAATTACGATTCTTTACACATGGCTATCCACTTGCCTCTCTAGGCGCACACACACATTTATGTATGTGTGGACACATGATCAGTTTTGTCTCTTGCAGAATACAAACAAGTTGGTCTGTCCAGTGGAAAGAAATTTCGAATCGAATGCAAATTTTCAATTATTGCATTATTTTTGCGAATGAGTGTTGCTTGTCATCATATAGCTCATACGCCAGAGTGGTGACACAATTAAAAAGGATACGCATTACTGGCAAAACCTCTGGGCGAACAAAAAATAACGACAGACACAAATCGTCGATGTACAATCGACTAGCAAGGGCTGAGGTGACGTCATTCCAAAATACATTTCCCAAATTACTTTACATTGCCTGATTTTTATGTTCTGCGAAATGGCCTCTTTTGGCTTGGAGTTCAAGATGCAAAATAAGCCAAAGTCCATAGAAAGTCCGTAAGATAGTTTGAAAAGATAAGCAATGCCCTCAAGCTATGACCGCTTATAAAGAAATATTTCTCATCATAACACGACCGATTTAAGGAATTTTGAAGCACTTGAAACATGTCGGCGGCCCAAAGGAAAAAATAAGAACTTTTCCATATAAAATGTGCAAGAAAACCTATAAAAATTAGTAAATCTATTGAAATAGTCCCGTAAGGTTTCCATACACAGTTAACCTGAATGAGCCGTACTTTGATAGCAATCCAGTCGGAATTCATATAGTTTTTATATTTTATTATTGTTTTTTTTCCAATATGTTGGTGTTTAAAACTAACAGCGCATCAGAGGGTGCGTGTAGCCACCGAAGATACATAATTTATTTAGGGCTTGTTTTTTTTTGTCAGAAAAATGACAGCCTGCGGCTTGATTCAATTAATTGCCGCCAGGTTAGTAATGACTTAATTTCAGCATCTTATTCGATCCAACGTAGCAGAAATCACGTGACTGGGCACCATTACTGAAAATGTCGATCATTTATTGAGGATGATTTGAAGTCAGACTTTCTCACCACAAACGGAAGTTATGCAAGTTTTGACCCATTTTTGCCTTGTTTTTGATTTTAGACTCTAATTTTGATAGACAAGTGTTTCCAAACCGACAAGTGTGCGTGTTTGTGATTCGAATGCGGTTCTGTGTTTGTGTTTTTCTTTACACATACATACATTTGTTTGTAGTTTTATGGAATTCTTTTAGATGTTCATCCGGGTCCGCAGTTGTATTAACAAATAACAGATTTCTAGAAACTAATAAAAAGTTCACTCCTGCCCCTTCTGTTCTCCCTTGTCCACACAAAATAAACCTAAACTAAATGGTGGTGGGGAGGATTTGCTTCGTCTCTAGTGAAGAAGCACAGAGTCTGTGTGCGATGTGTCTTAATTTCCGTTTTGAATGGAATCAAAAGAAATAGAAAGTCCATTTTGTGTGTGGATATCAAGCCATTATTAAAATGATATATTGTTTTACTTGCAAAAAATACACATATATCTTCAAAATATATAAAAGCAAAACAGCGACGACTGCCAGCGAAACCGGTCCCACCACAAAGAGCTAATGTGTAATCTTCGGCAGCCAAAAACTGAAATCCGTCAAAGGTAGGAAAACGAAACTAATATCTACCTACAAGCAAATAAAACAATAATTGCCAATAGAATTCCATAGTTATTCTAATCATCTTTCTCTTAATTTGTCTCTAGATGTGTGTGTGTGTGTCTATGTGAGTACGCATACATATGTGGGTTTGCATTTGTGTGCGAGAGAATCAACTCGCACACTTTAATGATGCTATTAATAGAATTGAGGTATTTCTGAAAACATTTAAATAATTTTATTTGGAAATGAACTGAAGATCCATGTCTCTGGAGACAGTAGTTCCCACAGACAGCACTATAGGTCGGTGACAGTTCGTTGTCTATCTGTTCAAAGCAACAACAACTAACTATTGTAAAATGTGAAAGAGAGTTGGTACAAATGCTGGGATGCAACCTCCAGAGCCAAACAAATGAAGAGGGACGCGATTACAAGTGAATTATGAGGAAGAGGAGGAGGACCTTTTTCTGTCAATAACCATCGAATTTCGAATAATTACAATATAATTATTTAATAATTCCAATATTCGAATTCATTTGATAACAATTTTAGACAAATATAAAGTAACCCGGTTTTTACAAATGACAGTAATTGACAGCAAGGTGCATGGGGTAGGTGCTAATATGGTCGTCATCTCCTAGTAGTCGGTATTGGTAATATTTAAGCTCAAATAAATTAAATTATTTTTTCAAGTAAATGCGAAAATGAAATTATATTGGCTTTGAAGACGTTGCCTGCTGCCTTTGGGTAAATGATTTATTCTGTTCAAAATTTATATTTTGCCAGTGGGCGTCCTTTAGTACAAGCGACACAAAGTTAAAATTAACAACCAGGATGATTTTTTTTTTCTGAAGCAACCTTCTGGAATAAAAAGTTGGAAAGTGGACGTTTGGACATTACAAATAACCAAAGACTAGAAAAATTTAAATAAATTCTTTAAAACATTAATAATAGGCCAAAAATATGATTTTGGAGTGTTTATCCGCTTTCGGGCGTAGTTTTAAACTGTGATCTCTTCATTAATTTTGTCACTCCGTTTGTAACTCCTCCAAATATTCATGATAGACCCTACAAAGTACATATATTCTGGATCAGCATAAAATTCTAAGACGATGTCCGTCTGTCTGTCTGTTGTACGACGAACGATTTGAGATAGAAGGCTAAAATTTTGCACACATGTGTATTTTATCAATAGTCAGGTTAAGTTCGTAACTGGGTCATGTCGGTCAACGTTTTCGAATCCCTTTATTCGGTATTTTGATGATTATAACGACATTATTCGCCGGAACTGTTTCAAATTTCGAATTTGAAGATCTTAATGGGTGCTACAGCCTATGACAAAAAATTACTTATGCAGGTTTATGCCTTCGTATAAAAGCCCCCGTATAAAAGTCATCATTTAAACGGTATTTTTCTGAATTAGTTGACATTTTTCAAGTTCCTTCCAAATGGTGGAGGGCATTAAAGCTGATTTTTTACTTGTTTATTCCTACACAAACAACACTATCAATATTGAAAATGTTTTATTGACAACTTTAAAAATGAACTCCAACCATGGGATTGAGAGGGTTTCATTATCAAAATCAGAAACATTTATACAATTTACACATACATGTTCGTGCTGTATAGTGTGTCCGGTGCCTAATTTCAAATATTCATTGGCCTATATTTGTGGCAATTAACGAGAATCGTCGTTAGTTTGTGGTGAAAAAAAAGTAGTTCCTAAGCCTATGGTCTATTTATAAAGTCGCCGAGGAAGGCAAATTCAGGCCTTGGTCTTCTCCAAGCAACATTTTAGTTTAAATATTTAACACTTGTTTTTTTTCACATATTTGTCATTAAAATAAACAGAAGAAGAAAGCAGCTGACCTGACCTTGTCACCTTGAAAATACTCCTTGAACCAAGCCTTGTCGATAGAAACAATGACGTTTTACTTTCTATCAGTTTTTACGTGATAGTTTTTCGTTTTAATTTTACCGATTTTTTGTCAGAATTGTTCCACAGGACTTGGGGAAACTATTTGCTCGTGTCCAGGATATATTTACATGGTGATGGAGCTAATTTTACTGCCGCTTTTTTTGCATTCAAGACAAATTTACTCTGTTCGAGTAAGAAACTCCTAGTTTTGGAAATTTCTTCAATATTTTAGAGGGAAAAAACTTTTAAATTCTTGCAGTTCTGGAACAGACCAATTCTTTTATTCAAAAATTTGTAATAAATATTCCTGTTCTGGCGAAAATATACGCGTTTAATTATTACATTTAGATTTGCGTTGCAGTGCTTAGGTCCTGACTCGGACTCTTTCGCCATGGCAAGTTTTGAAATCCCTTCGTCCTTTGTATAGAAAAATAACATGAGAAGGAACATTTTAGGGGACTTCTTCATTAGAATCAACTGCAAATCCAAAAATCATACAAACGTTTATTTTACAGTGCCTGGATAATGTCATAATTCATGTCCTGAAAGGCAAATGTTGCTCTTTGCATTTATTCCACAACGTAAACGGGACACATTTTGTGTTTGCTATTAAAATTGGCAAATATATACAACGATGAAATTCGGAACTTATGTTCTAAATCGATTGTACTTTTTGTTTTTTTTTTTGTGCGGTGTCCTGTTCGACCCTTATTGGATAGTTGTTGATATTATTACACACACACGCTTATTTGTTCTTGATTGGATTTACAATCCCTCTTTAAATTGTCGACCAATTGTTATGCTTGTTACGCACACACACACACACTTTCACTCGACCCGACCTTTGGTAGGATCACTCAGAGTTCAACATAGTTCATTCGTAGGGCGATCGATGCCATTGTTCAATACGGATAGGTGGTACATACATACGTGTTGTTAAATTTACCTAGGTTTTGTTTGCTGGTCGTTTGTTTGTTTGCTTCCGATTCGAGTGTTGCTTGTTTGTCTCTTTGTTTGTTTACGAAGACGAAAACTGCCGACTTTTACTCGACTTAACGTCCGACGCGCACAGGTATTTTAAAGATTGTGTTTGATCTGCGCCAAGTCCGTTGCTTTTATATGCAGCAGGTTTTCGGCAGGTGACGTCTTGCTGCGCCACCAAAGCTGTGCGTTGCTGCTGAGGGCGTTTCAGCCACCGCCGCAATGTGTGAATCTCTCCTCTGGCTTCGACGGCCGTGGAGAAGTGTTATAGTTTATGAGTGTTTGGTGTGTGTGTGTGTATGTGGGGGGATTTGCCAAAACAAAAGCCACGGCTAGCGGTGTGCCTCTTAGCTTGGGTCGTCAGCCAACAAACAAGTGTTTCCACCTCGACTGCTTAAGAGCGCTTTGTGATTGTTTTGATGTTTGGCTGAGCTAACTGAGGCAGTCCGTAAGTAGCATTGCTCAGTTGGCTATGGGTTACATGCCCATCCGTGGATGACACTTTGGATGCTGCCTTCGTTACCGGCTGTTATGGCTGCTCTGTTCCCGCACTGCCAATGCGAAGATCAGTCTCAGATTTGTTCTCTTCATTCGTTCTCTCTGTCTGCACTCGCGTCTCTGTCTCTCGGAGACCAACAATTAGCATCAATGCTCTGAATACCCAAAATCGTTTCCAGCGTTTTATCATTCGCTTTTTTCGGCCAAAAGGGAATTCACTTACAAAAACAAAGAAAAGCATCAAATCATCATCTAATATTTTTTATGTGCAGGGTGTATGAGTGTGTGTGCGTGTTTTCAAATCTGACATCTGTGTTTCGTCATGCTAATGTCAGAAGCTGCTTCTATCTTGCCATTCTATCCGCATTGAAATAAGTTTACGTTGTTCGCTAATCGTCACCCATTAGTAACGATACGGTATTTGGTTGGACGTTCAAATGGATGATTCCGCCATGAGTCATCCCTCCTAAACAAATTAAGTCGAAAAAACCCCAACGTTTTGTCTTAGCAATTTAAAGCCGCAAAAGAAACCTCAGAACTCATAAACACATCAAATTATCGAGTGGCCAAAATTTCTAAATTTGTCATCTGTGCGGCATTCAAAGCTGTTCATTGGTCCGCAGCAACTGTAATGGGATAACTTGTTTGCTCCCACATCCGGTTACTGTTTTGATCCCCCAACCTTCTATTAACTCTGCATTTGCAAACTGGATTGCAGACCGCATAACCCATTGTAATATATAACAATCTCTCGCTCCCACATATCATTTCCAATGTCGTTTTAAAAAATGAAAAATAAACAAAACCAACTGTTGCATATTTAAACGTCTTTGCATTTTTCAAGTTTCTTTGAAGATGAGCAACCTTTCTTATTGAACAATGTGTCTATCCATTCGGCTTACAAGGAATCCTTTTCATCCATAGCTTTGTTAATTGTACTATGGTCTAAACATGGCTTAAGAGTCAAATTTGACACGATGTTTGGCTTTCCTTCCATGATAAAATGTTTTAAACGGTCGTAATGCCCAAATACAATAAGTCCACATCTTCAAGGCAACCAAATAAAATCACAGCAAACGTTGAAAAAAATATTCTGAACAATTGTTTTCCAATTTTACACATTCACACTTTTTCTATAATTTCTTCTAACATACCAAAAATAGAAAAAAAAAACATCTTGAGAATAATAATATTTTTAAATAATTAGTCATAATCATTTGTTTAACAATGCTTGAGAAACACTTATGATGAATAAATTCTGTCCTTATATGAAAATTTTTGTTTTTGTATTTTTGCGAACATTTTCATCAAGAAATTATTCTTTTTTTTAACAGGGCCTATTTATAAGGTCGTCCAGGATTCAGACATTGGTGTTCTCTTGCTGCCGAAAGCTATTTCGCAAGAATCAATCAATGGAAGGAAAAGACACAAAAAAGGGTTTACTAAATTTTGTTTTTTATGACAGAAATTATTATTATATATTTATTGTTAAAATATTGTTATTGTTACCCACATGGTGGTAAAGGTATTATGTCTTTGGGCATTTGTTTGTAACAGACATAAGGAAGCGAGATAGACCCATACTTACTTTTCAGATTCTTCATTTACTTTCTGTGTCGATTTATGCATGTCAATTCGTATGTCCGTGTTTTTTTAACAATATGCAGGTCGCATTTATTATCCAATTGAGATGAAATTTTCCAAACAATATTTGTTTGGCCCAAGGACGAATGCTATTGAAATTGGTGAGAATCGGTTCAAATTTAGATATAACTCCCAACCGATTTTGGGTAATTGTGCACCAAATGACCAATATCAGTCCAAATGACCTGCATTTTGGCAATTCCTACTTAATTCTTCCTAAAAATAAGTACTTCAAATTTGGTAAAAATCGGTTCAGACATAGATATAGCTCCCATGTATATGTTTCATCCGATTTAAGGGTTTTAAGTCCCTCACATTCGTAATATACATTCCACAACAATAATATTTGATACCGGGCATCAGATACAGCTTAGAAATAAGTGTTTTAAATTTTGTCAAGATTTAGATGTAGCTCCAATTTATTTAAGGTTTTTTGTGCTCCAAATGGCTAATATAAGCCCAAATGGACTGAATTTTGGCACTTCCGACGGAATTCATCCTAGAAAATAAGAACTTTAAATTTTGGTGAAAATCGGTTCAGATAAAAGCTTTTTTCATATTCAACTGAATATTTCCTGTACATCTATTGCTCCAAAAAATATTTTTTAATATAATCCTTATCGAAGTCATATCATGCACTATACAGCAATGTTATTTGGTTCGTAGTTGATCTACTTCACATAAGTTCCCAATATAAACGTTTTTGTTACGCGAGCTCTACTAAATAGGGTATCATATGTCGGCGCCGCCGACTTTTAATCTTTCCTTACTGGTTTATAAATAGCAATGTGAGGCGATTTAGGACATATTTCCAACCAAATTCTTATGGTAAGAATGAATTATAAGGAAATCTGGGATTTGTATAACTTCAATTTTATTTCAAACTAAATTTCAATTTCATTTATCAAGCTTAGGAAAAAAAGTAAAATATTTAAGAATGAGATGCATTACCTCAAAAATCGGCATGGAAAAGGACTCACGCCAACAATGGGAGTTGCAGCAGTGAAGGGAGTTGCATGGAAATGGCCAATGGAATGCAGTTAATAAGAATTGTACAAATGAGCTTGTTCTGTTAACATACGTATAAGCTTAATATATTTTTCTGTAATGTAATTGTAATTGTAGAATAAGCTACAATTACAAGATCAAGCTTATAAATAGAGGTTCAGCTTTGATTATTTTCACAAGTATTGCTCAATACATTCTCAAAATTTCCTCAAGCTTTAGATTAATGTTTATAAGCTTATTACCACATTATTCTTCTCTTGTGATGATAAAACGTCGAAGGCAAACGACAGGTGTGCAGACTTTTCTTCACTACAAAGAAAATAAGTGACCGCATTTGGGAATAAAGTCGTGTTTTTGGCGTTTTCTAAAATTGCAAAATGTATTAAACATAATTACAAATATATGCATGACTCAAAAAGAAAAGTTGCTCATCTTCAAAGAAACTAGCAAAACTGCAACTCTGTATTGGAGCCTTAATGCTTAAAAAAGACTTATAAACATGCAACAGTTGGGCCCGTCCTTATATCATTTCGTTACATTCCAGTATTCGTTATTCCATTATCGGGTTTTCAGTGTTATTTCTTTCCTTTAAAATAAATGTATTTGTTTTCAGAGATATGACAAGATTTATGTAAATGTAACTGGTAGTGTCCGCATTGTTTCACGGTGGCAATTTCATTTTATTTGAGAAATAATGTACGAAACGAATTGATAATTAATTTTGTGAAAAAAATTCAGCTTAACTCTAGTTTAGTAAAAACTCTTCAATTTTTTCAACAATTTTTCCAGTGAAAGGTATTTTTACCCTGATCTCGGGAAACTATTTTTTTCTTGGGGGACGGACCCGGAACCCCAGATTTTTGACCCAAAAGTCCGGGTTGAAGACCCCAACTAGACCCGGATCCAATTACCCGATCAACACAATATAGGTATCGTTGGAAAAAATACGTATCCAACAAGTGTTCACATGATGGGGTAAGTGGTGACGGTGCGGAAGATATAGTCGATTTTTTTCGACCTTGATTTTTAAAAAAAACCCAAAAAGTCCAAAAAGGGCCCATTATGGGGGTCAACAAAATTTATGCCAAAATTTAGCTGACACTCTAACCTTTCCAAAATGCTACAATTTGTACTAATACATTCTTCGGATCCAGAGATTTGGGTCCTTCCATCCGCATAACCCGATTCTAACCAGTTCATTAAAATTATGTTTTCAGTAAAAAAGGTTTATTTCACGTAGCCGTCGTTGGAATTACAAAAGTTTTCTAAATTTGACATTTTTGTAAATAGCCGTCCTTCGGCCGGGACTTGAGATTTTCTCCTCTAGGTATGTCCTACACCGCCTAACGCGAACCAAGAATTTGACACTTTTTGTAAAAAACCGGATTTTACCCGGATTTTCGGGTCTAAAATCTGCGGTTACGGGTCCGTCCCCCAAGAAAAAAATAGTTTCCCGGAATCAGGGTAAAAATACCTACCTCTGGAAAATTTTTCGAAAAAATCGAAGAGTTTTTACTAAACTAGAGTTGTTCCAAAAATTTCAATTCAGTTATTCAATATTAAATAAAATATGGCAACATGAATTCAGTACATTTTACATAAAAAGATAAAAGGACGATTATTTGACCATTGCTTATCGGACAGTTCATTTTTAAATGAAACTTATAATAACGATGAATGATTTATTTGTCCGACAACATGACTTTTTTATCCATCCCAAAAATGTAAGAACCGGCCTTGGTTTTTTTATTTCAATTTTTTTTAAACTGCTATATTGGGGAAAACCCACAAAACTTGAATCGAATATTAGAGTTTTTCCACAAAATTAAATCCAATATATAGAGACAATATTGTTTTTTTTCCCAAAATTTGTAAATTTTGTTGCCCGTTTGAAATAAATTCAAGTTATTTTCTTTTTATTTGTATTTAGAAGTTAGCATCTCAACATACCTAAAATATATTAGACGATAATACAGTTTGAGAATAATATTTTGAAAAGAGTTTGTCATAACATTTCCTAACAATGCTTTAGAAACATTAAGGAAGCACAATCTATATATATATATAAAAGAAAGTTGTGTTAG